AACCCATCAGGTATCTGATTTACAAACATTTCCCCCCATTCATAGGTTGCCTTTTCATTTTGTTAGTTTCCTTTGTTGTGCAGAAGTTTTTTAGTTCTGTATAGTTCCACTTGTTGATTTTTGCTTTTGGGTGTCAAATCCAAAAAATCATTGTCAAGACCAATGTCAAGAAGCTTACCATCTGTTTTCTTTTAGGAGTTTTATGATTCCAGATCTTAGGTTTAATTCCTTAATCCATTTTGAGTTAAAAATTTTTTAAATCCTCACCTGAGGATATTTTTCTACTTATCTTCAGGTAGAGAGAGAGAGAGAAATATTGATGGGAGAGAGACACATTGACCAGTTGCCTCTCGCATGACCCCGACCAGGGTCGGGGATGAACTGCAACTGAGGTACGTGCCCCTTGGCTGAATCGAACCTGGGACTCATTGGTACGCGGGCTGATGCTGTACCGCTGAGTCAAACCTGCCAGGGTCGTTTTGAGTTAATTTTTGTGTATGATGCAAGATCTGGCCCAGTGTCATCCTTTTGCATGCTGCTGTCGTTTGCCCAGCATTTATTTTTTATTTTATTTTTTTATCCTCGCCCGAGGACATTTTTCCATTTTTTGTTCAGGTAGAGTGGGAGGGAGAGAGAGGAACAGAGAGAGAGAGAGGGAAATATCGATGTGAAGGGACACATCGAGTGGCTGCCACCCGCACGACCAACCAGGGCCGGGGACAAACTGCAACCGAGGTACGCGCCCTTAGTGGGAACCGAACCCGGGTCTCTCAGGACCACAGGCCGACACTCTAACCACTGAGCCAAACCGGCCAGGGCTGCCCAGCATTTATTAATGACACTGTCCTTTCTCCATATTCTTGGCTCCCTTGTCATAAATTAATTGGTCATATAGATCTGTTCCATTGATCTATGTGTCTGACTTTATTTTTATTTTTTTTAATCCTCACTTGACATTTTTGCATTTATCTTCAGATAGAGTTGGGAGGAAGAGAGAGAGAGAAACATCAACGTGAGGAAGACACATCAAGTGGCTGCCACCCACCCACATGACTGTTGGGGTCAGGGACAAACTGCAACTGAGGTACGCGCCTTTAGCGGGAACTGAACCTGGGACTCTCTGGCCTGCAGGCCGACGCTCTAACTGCTGAGCCAGACTGGCCAGGCTATGTGTCTGACTTTATGCCGAAACCAACTATTTTTATTACAGTAAAACCTCAATATGATGGACTACATCAGGCGAGGGGTGTCTGTTAAAGCCGAAAATCTATTATAAAATAAAGTAGGTTTTCTGAAATGCGTATGTTAAAAAATAAGACAAATTAGTTTACCTGTTTCTAGTTATGTACACATTTGTGTAATTATGTATGTAAAATTCAATTTCACAGAAAAGTTTTCTATATGTATTACAGTAATTTTAAATTTATACTGAATAGGTCTAGTAAATGCCTGCATTCACCAGTCACCACAAATACACATGGCTGGGGTGTGGCTTGGAGCATGTCAAAACATCGGTTGGCACACATGAAAACTGCTGCAGAAAGTCAGGCCACGACAAAACCAGTTACTGCGCACGATGCAGCGTGATCATGTGCTAATCATTCACTGAACATTGTTTATGAGCGGTGACTTTTGGATTTAAATATGTAGACTGTAGTTGTAGATATGTAATATTTATGTTGGCAAAATGACTACATTGTTTTTCCAACATATTGCCTGTTTGTTAAAATTTGTTAAAAATAACAACAAAAAATAACCTGTTAATTTAATTGTAAGAAAATCTTGGTTAAAGCATGTAAAAATTAACAGGGTGTTAATTTTCAAATATGACATATGGACCTGAAATTGTGTTTGTTAAATCTGAAGTCAGTTAAATTGAGGTCCACAAGATCAAGGGTTTTACTATATTAGTTTTGTAATATAGTTTGAAATCAGGGAGTGTGATGTCTCCAGCTTTTTTGTTCTTCAGAGGGCAAAGTTTTAAAGGCAGTTTGAGTTTAATGGTTTTTAGGACAAGAAGAAGAAGCTGGTCACATCAATCAAATTAGCTGGGTAATTGTTCGAATGGCTTTAAATACCAGATAAAATATTCTCTCAGCATGTCTAGATTTGGGATCTGATAGATCCCTCCATAAGCTGTAGCTTAAGCCCCAATTTAGGATTTCTCTTTCAAATTACACCATTTTTCTTAATGACACCTTCTGTTAGCCCTGTCCACCTCATTCTCCCATTATACTCCCCCCTAAGCGTTTTTTACTGGATGCCTCTTCCCATTGCACCTCCACCCCTCCACCTCTTCACTAAAGGCTCTATTTGTCTGCTTTATATCAGCACTGGTTCTTCCTTTCCCTTTCTACATGTTTGGTTTTGTTTTTGTTTTTTTAATGTTTTTATTTATTGATTTTTTTTAGCGAAAGAAACATCGATGAGAGAGAAACATTGATCAGCTGCCTCCTGCACACCCCCTGCTGGTGATCAAACCCACAACTTGGGCATGTACCCTGACTGGGAATCAAACTAGTGACCTCTGGGTACATGGGACAACCAACTTAGCCACACCAGCCAGGGCTCCTTTCCTATGTTTTTAAGAGGAGGCAGTTAATTGTCCTGTGCCGCATGATACAGTAAGGCATATACACAGGTAAACTTATATAGTAAAACAATCATATACATTAAGGGCTTAAAAACAAAAATTCTTTCCCCCATTCCCAGTCTTGCTTTCTAGAAGTCAAAATCTTCTGATAATTATATCCACATTTCTTTTTTCTTTATTGATTTTACAGAGAGAGAAAGTGAGAGGGAGAGAGAGAGAAACATCGATAAGAGAGAACATCGATTGGCCACCTCCGGCATTCCCCCAGTGGGGATCAGGCCCACAACCTGGGTGTGTGTCCTGACTGGCAACCTCTTGGTGCATGGGTCGACGCTCAACCACTGACCCACACTGGCTGGACACATCCATATTTCTAAATGATATGGTAATATTGTTCTTCATTAGTTTTAGACATAATCTAATTAGTTTCCTTTTTATGGTAGTTAAGGAATTATCTATTGCACCAACCAACTCGTTCTGTATGCCCTGCCTCCGCCCCCCCAATACACTGTTCTAAGTAACTTTCAAATGTGTGCTTTCAAATGAGTTTTTCCTGGGTGTTTGTGGGCAAATTGGCTTCATGTATGATTCTCTCTCCACAGGTACTTGGATCACAACATCCTCTACTTGCTGAGTTAGTTACCACTTCATTTGGTATTTTTCAAAAACAGAAAAATCTTTTGGTATCTTTTGTTTTCCTCTTTTATTTTTGACCTTTGATTAGCATTCCTATCCCTTCTCTGGTTAAATTCCTTCACTCAGTCTTTTTTTTTTTTACCCTCACCTGAGGACATTTTTTTTTTATATTTTGTTCAGATAGAGTGGGAGGGAGCGAGAGAGAGAGAAACATCGATGTGAAAGGGACACATCGAGTGGTCGCCACCCACACAACCCAACCAGGGCTGGGGACAAACCGCAACCAAAGTACATGCCCTTAGCGGGAACCGAACCCGGGTCTCTCTGGACCGCAGGCTGACGTTCTAACCGCTGAGCCAAACCGGCCAGGGCTCACTCAGTCTTCTTGTTGATTATTCCTAGTTCTTAGCTTGGTTAACCTAGAGCTGGCAGAATTGGTAACTTAAGAGTCTTCCTAAAACATTTAACATTTAAAAAATATTCTAAGAGCATCATTATGCTTGTTTGTGAAAGGTTATATAATCTACCACTTAGAGTGGCATCTACCATTGACTTGGGGATTATTCTTCCAGACCTTTTCTATATTGTAATGTTTATATTGAATTATACTATTATATACGATACCTACTGATTCCAAAGCTTTTACAATAAAATAGCATCAATCACTGTATAGTTTAAGATTTCCTCATTTTACTCAAGAATATATTGTGGATATATCTGTCTAGTTCTACTTTATCACTTTTCTTTTTACAACTTCTAGATCTTATGTTCTAACACTTGTGTATCTGGTCTTACCTTGTGCATTTCTCCTGTCCTTTCCATCCATCTGCACACACTGGACCTGTCACAATATATCGCTGCTATCTGCATGTCTCCTCCTCATGCTACAAACTTGGCCAATCCACCAACTCTTTTCCCCAGGAAGCCAGCTGCCATTTCAAGAGGGTGGCACTTGGGACCACAGTATTAGATTCAGCTGTCTACACTTTTCTCCAGGACAATCAGATCCTACCCTATCATGCCTCTTGCTCTCCCTGGGCCTTGATCATTGTTCATATGCTCATTCCCATAATATTCTGTACATGCCCTAATGGGTACCTCTCTTCTCCTTTCCTGGTGTCCTCTGCCACTCGGTGGCTTTGATCAGCAAAAGCCCCATATCCTCAACTACTCTGAAGCCTCCCTCCAGCTCTTGGCCTTCACTGAAGCTCTCTTCTCCATGGAGACACCATTGCAAGTGGGTTTTCTTTTTTCTCATGTTCCCCTACACTAGAAATCAAGTTGGTGTACTTTTGCTCACTTCAAGTCGATTATGCCTCCTTCCCACCTGCAATTACTAGTTTTCTTTTGAGGCGTAAATACACCATCTGGCCTTACACCCTTGGCCTCTCCTCATGCTGTCTTCTACCAACCACTAAAGCCATATGCATAAATTCTCATCTTCTATCCACCATGTAAAAAAGCTATACACAACTGAACCTATCTTCAAGGTTTATTCCTACATCCCACCTCTGATGACAAGCTCATACTTCTATCTCCTTTTTGAATTTGAGAATTTTTTGGCCCTCTAGTACTGGTTTTTATTATTTTTGTTGACCCACAACAATAGGCTTCAGGAGCTGGCTCATTTGAGTAAAAAATGACTAAAGAAAAACGTGTGCCTTTAAGGTTTTAGGTCATAAATTCAAAAGCAGTACACTTTAAGAAAACAATTTTTATTTAAAACATTATTTCATAAAATGTATTGGAATGACTATATGGACAAGACATTTAGAAATGATTCTTCTGGTTTAGTTTCCTGGCTCAATTCTAAGTCTGCCCTGGTCAAGCCCTCCAGAAACGTCACTTATGGAAGTGGCCTTATGGGAAGGGATTCTTACTGTACTGAAAGGAAGCCAGGTGAAGCCGAGATTTGAAGCGCTCAGCTTCCAATTCCCGGAAAAAAGCATCATCGTCATTCTGTGTGATCATGTACTGCAGTTGTTGAATTTCCTTCTCCATCTTAGATCTCAGCTCCCTCTTCACCTTATATAATGTCTAAAAGAGAATTCATGTCATTCTGCTATTCACAACATATATCCAGGCCACCCTCATCTATATTTATTCCCTTTCTAACTCCCAGCTCATCAAGCTCCTGCAATATACAGAGGTCTCAATAGGTAAAGTTGAAATCATAGGATAAATGTTTTGAACCATAGATGAACCTTCTTATTACTATTCTCTCCATTCCCCTTAAGGTATAATAATTATTTTCTATTTCTTAAAAATGTAAATAAATTATTTCTATTCTGTTAATCATTACCTGGGCCTGGGATTTTTCTCTAGCTTTGAGTTCTTGATGTTCCTGTGATATGGCTTCTGCCAGCAATGAAAACTGTTTACAGGGGGTAAAAAACAAATCTTTTATTTGTCTGTAGTCGATAAATATAACAGTTCTTATACTCAATGTTCAGAGGCTTAAAATATTTTAATAGAAATAGGGCAGTATAGATTCTGTACTTTAGTCAAGCACTAGTTTATTTTATCTTAAATTTCAATCTTGAAAGTGGGGTTAGTCTAACCTGTTCTGAATTAATGTGTAGAGATTTATTGTTCAGCAGGCTGAGCTGACTTTCAATAGGGTGGTCAGTAGTAAGCACATCAGAATGTAAGCAAGCAGCAGTAAGCCCACCTGATCTTTATAGTAGTTCTCCATTGAGTCCAGTTCATTCTGGTGCTGTCTCTTTTGTTCATCTCGCTTTTCTTTGGCATAGTTTCTTAGGTCTCGTAATCTTTGCTTTTGAATTTGTAAACCTTCTTCAAACAGTTTCTTAAATATCTGTCAGTTATTTAGTCAGAAAAATTAAGTTATACTGAACTTTCATGGAGGAATAGAATCATTTTACCCAATTGAAGGTATATACTCATTGTATTTTACAAAGACTTTTTTTTTTTAAATCCTCACCTGAGGATCTTTTTTTCCATTTATTTTTGGATAGAGTAGGAGGGAGGGAGGGGGAGAGAGACACATCAGCTGGTTGCCTCCCTCAGCACCCTGGCCAGGGCTGGGGACTGAACCTCAACTGAGGTATGTGCCCTTGACCAGAATCGAACCTGTGACTCTTTGGTCCGCAGGCCAACGCTCTAACTGCTGAGGCCAGGGCAAGATTTAAAATAATAATAATAATAATAACAGATTTATTGAGATATAATTCGCATACAATAAAGTTCACCCTTTGAAAATGTATAATTCAGTAGGTTTTAGTACATTTGGAGTTGTGCAATCATCACCACTAATTTCAGAACATTTTCATCACTCCAGAAAGAAACCCCACACCCAACAAGAGCCACTCCCCATTCTGCCCTCCCCAGGCAACCAACCACTAGTCTACTTTCTATGTCTACAGATTTGCGTACTTTGGATATTTCATATGAATGGAATCATATACTATGTAACCTCTTGTATCTTTCACTTAGCATTTCTTTAAGGTTCATTCATATTGTAGCATATATCAATGCTTCATTCCTTTTTATTACCTAAGTTTATTCTATTGCATAGATACACTATATTTTGTTTATCCACACATCAGTGGATGGCATTTGAGTTGTTTCCTCTTTTTGGCTAATGTTTCTGCAAACACTTGTGCATAAGTTATTTGTGTGGATATATACCTAGGAGTGAAATTGCTGAATCATATTAGTAGCTCAATGTTTAACCTTTTGAGGAACCCCCAGACTGTGTTCCGAAGTGGTTGTTGCACCATTTTATGTACCCACCAGTACTGCATGAGGGTTCCAAGTTCTCCACATCATGGCCAACATTTGTCTTTTTTATTTCAGCCATCTTAGTGGGTGTGAGTGCTATCTCACTGTAGTTTTTATTTGTATTTCCTTTAATGACTAATAGTGTTTCAGCATCTTTTCCTGTAGCCCAAAGATTCTTTACTGCTTTCAAAAAATATATCTAAAGCAGCCACATATGTACAAGTGCTCTAGGGTTCTTGCCTTATATAACTTAGGATGATGTGGTTACCATCTAACAGGTCACAGGAAAACAAACTATTCAAAGGATTTGGATGTGCCCTCTTGTCCTCCACTGATTAGTAAGAACTCTTGATCAAAGAACTAGTTCTCAGAGCCATGTATTCAGTGGCCAGCCATATTACCTTGGTCAAGTTAGTTAACCTCTCAACACCTTAGTAGTATCCTCTAGAAATGAGGATAATAGTATGACCCACTTCAGAGTATTCAGACAGTTAACTATAATTACCTTAATGTTTTACTCTAGGGATGAAATGTATTGCCAGTTTAGAATCCCAAAGTATTAAGCATTTCAGCTTGATGAGGATGAGACAGCAAATACTTTGTGGAAATTCCTCAGAGCACATCTGTCCTATGTATTTTCTTGATTTTATATGGAAACCTAGATCATCTAATCACATCTTCAGCTCCTGTCTCTGATAACATGCTCCTAAAGCAGTTACATGGGAGAAGTACCTATGTGCAGGAGGTCAGAGGGAATTCAGTTGAGGGCAGTGGAGACTGAGAATAGACCAGGGAGTAACAATGAGGTATGGCCAAGTCTGAACTCATATAGCCAGCATTTTAGGACTTGTCCGGTTTGAATCCAAAATTCAAATACAAGAATTACAAAGAAGGTGTTCCTGAAAGGTAACAGACAAAATTCACCTTCTTAACAGGGTTACCTAGAAAAGCTGTACTTACCATTTCTTCTCGGGTCCTCATTCTCATCATTTTTGCACGCAACTGAACTCTATAATCATCATAATATTTTCGGGCACGAACAATCTGCTGCCGATTTTCTCTTATTTTTGATTGGGTCAACTTCTGCCTATGAATGCGGTCCTTGAAGTCTTGCTAAGAAAAGGAAAGGGAAAAAGAGGTAAGAATAAGAGGAAGACAGACTCCAGCATTATCACTTGCCCCACTCCCTATCACAAGGACTTCAAGCAGTAAGCCATTATGAAGGACGAGTGGCCTACTGCTTGGGCAGAGAGTGTAAAAGACTGTCAGCCCCCAGAAGTCCTCTAGCCTTTGGTCAGTTCATCACCTCAGTCCTAAGAGCCACTCCAATGAGCTCCACTGCTACAGAGAGCAGCAATGATCTGGTGGAACTAAAGATCTCATCTCCCCATTCCACTAGGGTATGACCTAAGCCACACCCAAATTCTAGTTCAGAAGGAGTAGAAAAATGGTACTTTGACTTACTTTCAAACAAAGTTTGAGTTACCAAGAGCATTTCTGTCAAAACTAAGGAAATTAGACAATATCTTCTTACAAAGTAGTGAGGATGAAATGAGGGCATGTATAAACCCTTGAACTAGGTGTTCAGATGTTTGTTTCCTCCCCCCCCCCCCCCCCCCAAAATACCAAAGTACCACATGTAGTTCCTCATATGGCTTCCCCTTCTGTGGAACTGTTGGGATTATAGTTCTCATTGCTTATCTCTACTCTCTACATTCGACCAAGGGTTTTTAAATCTCTTCCTCTGGCATATTGTCTTTGACCTATCCTTTCTCTTCATTATTCTCAACAGAGAATAATGTGCTGTGTACGATTCTCTATCCAAACTATAAGAGACTGGTAAACTACCTCAGCCGTCAACTTGGGACCCGAGAAAGATGGGAAAAGACTAAAGTAATAGTTACCTCTTTGGAGCATAGATTAAAATCTCAACCTTGTGCCTGGCCAGTGTGGCTCAGTGGTTGAGTGTTGACCCGTGCACCAAACAGTCTCTGGTTCGATTCCCGGTCAGGGCACATGCCTGGGTTGTGGGCTTGATCCCCAGTGGGGGGCATGCAGGAGGCAGCTGTTATCAGTGGTTCTCTTTCACATCAGTTTCTATCTTTCCCTCTCCTTTCCTCTCTCTCTCTGAAGATCAATAAAAATATATATTTAAAAAAATTCTCAACCTTGCTCCTTACTGATTATGGTGGGAGACCCAGGGCAAGTTAACATGTCAAAGCCTCAGGTTTTTCATTTCATAGAAAATGTCTCTATCATGTTACAATAAAGACTAAAGGAAACTTTGTATTGTAAAGCACCTAACACCTTCCCCACTCATCAGTTTTATTGCAAGCCCCAGATGCTTCCACAGGCAAGTATTTGAGGTTAACAGTCTGTGGGGCTATTGCTCAGCTGGTACAAATAAACGTAAGGTAAATTATAAACTCAAAATTATAATACCCAACTTGCTCTTCACATACCAGTCTCTTGTTGTGTTCATACTCTTTCTTGACAAGTGCAGTAAGCAGCTCATGCCTTCTTAAGGCTTCTTCTATCTTTAATGGGGCAAGAGGGAAGGAGGTTAATAATGCTGTTCACTAAATTCTCAGGGATAAGCTCTTTCCCCTTTTGGTTTATATTCCTATACTTAAAGTTAACAGCTTACTTCATCCTGGAGTTTCTTCTTTGATCGATCTTCTCTGTATGCATCTTTTTTGAACTGTTCAACCTGTGCGATTTGTTGTTTCCACATTTTGCTTAGAGTTTGGCCAGAAACATAGAGAAACGGAAACTGCTCAAGCATCAGGGGCAGGAGACTGTGTTCATTTACTTTCACTGCAAGGTTAAAAAAAAAAAAGCTCTTAATCTCAGAGACTTGCTGACAGGTTTTAATAAGAACTCTCATCCCACTTTCCTGATAGATCAGAGCTTATCTAAGTGATGTGGTTCTCTCATCCTGAAAAGAACAATTCTAAAATTATGTTATTACTTTTGTATCCCTTCTTTGATCAGAGTAAGCTAACCACTAGTACGGATGAAAAAAAGCTCAACAGTTCTGACTGATGACAAGCTGGTCTTGTGAAGTCCATCCTAACTGCTCAGCTGACTACTCAGTGCTTTGGGTGGATGCTCTGTGTGTGGTCAAGCAAGACTCCTCAGCCCTACTGGGAGGCAAAGTCTCTGTTTGATGGGATGTAGTAAGGCAGCCATCTTTGAAACTGTACCCTGGCATTTCACATGACCTCATTTTCCTTGTAACAGGACTCTTAACACCACTGGCACCAACTGTCAATATAACAGGAGCTGGACAGGCCATCTGCTTGTTTTGGCACAACCCTCTGGTTCTGCCAACTTCCCAGAAACAAAGAAAAGGCAGCCAGCATGAGTGAGCAGAGTAAAGCTAAAGCTGGAGCAGCATGAAATGACCCTAGCATTTCTTTAGTGCCAAGATATAGGCCTTCGTAAGATATTAGTGAAGTGTTTAAAATAAATGCCTTATTTAAGAGTTTTATCTTTTTACAGAAATCTAGTGTATGAAAATGATAAAAGAGGGAACTTTCTCCAACTAACTTGTGGATGTTAGTTTTCAGTACGTGTCCTTGGAATGTAGCACATACTTTTAAAGAATGCCAGTTTTCCATAAAATACAATTTTGTGGTTCTTACTTGGAACTACTTTCTTTGGCTTTGGCAAGCCAGCTCTTGGACTTGGAGTTACAGTGTTTCTAGAGTAAATCTTCCAGGATTGACTACGTTTTGGAGTTCCTTTATGACCAGCTTCTCTGTATATTTTTTCCTTAAAAGCAGATATAGAACAGAATAGAAATCAGAGAAGTTTAATAACTCTTTTATACATCATCTTAAATATTACATATTGACAAAAATAGCTAATAATCTCCAGCCAAACCATCTTACTTTATTTAGATTTCTAAAATCTGGTTAGTGTTTATCTACTCTAAGGCAAAAGAATCTTTTGGCATCCTTTGGAATTTGAAAAGGGACAAATTTTTTCGAATTTCAGAGTCACCATAGTCCCACACCCTAAATGCAACTACTATCATGTTTTGACTTTACTTCTATTTAAATCTACGTGGAAAAAGCTGTCAAAGTTCTCAAACTGTTTAGTTGCATCATATTGTATTTTATATCCTGTTTTGTTTATGAACACTTTAGCATAAGCATTTTCCCCATGCTTTTAGTTTCTGTAATCATTCTTTTTTTTTATCCTCACCCGAGGACATTTTCCTATTTTTTTATTCAGATAGAGCGGGAGGGAGAGTGAGGAAGAGAGAGAGAAACATCGATGTGAAAGGGACACATCGAGTGGCTGCCACCGCACGACCCAACCAGGGCCGGGGACAAACTGCAACTGAAGTACATGCCCTTAGCGGGAACCGAACCTGGGTCTCTCTGGACCACAGGCTGACGCTCTAAACACTGAGCCAAACCGGCCAATGTAAACTTATGCTTTCTTCCCACCAGGTATGCTAAAACAGGTTTCCTGTCTTCTCTTACTTACCTTTAACTTGTCAGTGTAGACTATCTTTTAAACACTTGGTGAACTACTAAACAACAGAACCCTTAAAAACTGAGGGAAGTTTTGGGCAGGAAGGGAAAATGCTAGTGTTCTTTGGTACCATGTTCCTTTCCTACATTTTAGCAACTTGGTTACCCTATGAATAAGAGAAAAATCCCACATCATGAAATGAAATCCTGTCTTTTTCTAAGGAGCTAATGATTAAAGCCCTGCTGATTTTTTTTTTTTTTTCCTTTTAAAAAGTTCATCTCTCTCTACTTTCCACTGATCTGATCAAATGGCATTTATTACAGTAGAGACTTTTACCCACTGTTTCCTCCTCGTCATTTGTTCCTGGAGGTCCAATATTTTCTTGAACTTTATTTCTTCTTAGTTCCCTTTCAAATGCCTCAGTTAGTGCCTACACAGGAAAAGGCCGTATGATATTTAGTTACAAAAAATATATATACAAATGAAAATGAAGGAAAAAAATTCACCTAAGATCCTGCCATTGTATTCACTTTTTTAAAAAGTTCCTTTCAGCCTGGCTGGTGTGGCTCAGTGGTTGAGCATCGGCACATGCCCAGGTTGTGGGCCTGATCCCCAGTGGGGGGCATGCAGGAGGTGGCCAGTCAGTGTTCTCTCTTATAGATACTTCTATCTCTCTCTCCCTTCCTCTCTATCAAAAATCAATAAAGGAAAAAATACTAATAATTTAGTCATATTGCCTGTATAATTTTGTTTCCTGCATTTCAAAATTAGCACATCAAGTCTTTCTCCAAGTCCTTAAACTCTTTATAATCATTTTTAATCACTGTGATAACATACCTTTTTTTTTTTAATCCTCCCCCAGGACATTTTTCCATCTTTTATTCAGATAGAGCGGGAGGGAGAGAGAAGAAGAGAGAGAGAGAAACATCAACGTGAAAGGGATACATGGAGTGGCCGCCACCCACACAACCCAACCAGGGCTGGGGACAAACTGCAGCCGAGGCGCGTGCCCTTAGTGGAAACTGAACCCGGGTCTCTCTGGACCGCAGGCTGATGCTCTAACTGCTGAGCCAAACTGGCCAGGGCACAAATACATGTTATTTAATAAATGTGTACTTGGGACATAAAATGAAATTCTACATAATGTGTGTTTTTGTTGTCACAGTTCTTGTAATTATTTTGATAGTCCCTTGAGTTACATGTTGAGTTGAAGTTACTGAATTATAAAACATACTATAGCAAACAACTTAAGTGTTCTAAATGTGTATTACATTTCAAAAATACCCATTCCATAGCAGAAAATCTTTTATTTTTTTTGAGAGAAACATCGATATGAAAGAGACACATCAAGTGGTTGCCTCCTGCACAACCCCAACTGGGGCCAGGGATGAATCAATCGCAACTGAGGTGCATGCCCTTGACCGGAATCAAACCCATGACTCATTGGTCCATGAGCCGACAATCTAACTCCTGAGCCAAACCAGCCAGGGCCATAGCAGAAAATCTTCCTTAGTAATCATACATTCTCCTAGTTGAATCTTAACCACCTTGTCTCATTCCTGTCTTGGGCACTTTCATCCTATCTGGAACTCAAATCACCTGTCACATTTAATCTACCTAAAATTCAGTTCATCTCTGAAGCTCTGTCTGAAAACACTTACTGACCTACTCTTTCTTAATTTCCTTCAGTACTGGGCTATATCTGACAAGGTTTGTCGTCTTAAAATTTTGTGAGCACATGTTTTATGCTCCCTAACTTGGGACATAAAAGCTATGTCACATAATTTTCTATCATCTACTCAGCTCAAGAATATTAAATGCGTTTTAGCCTTTAATAGCATGTTCACGTAAATGGTACTGCCTGCTGCCCATGGTAGTCAGGAGATGGAATATACTTACCTTTGCTTGGAATCGGCGGGTATCTGTTTCTATTGGCTTTCCCTGCTTTTTTCTTTCCATATTAAACTGTTTATTTTTGTTAACTGGAGATGGAGAGAGTGAATGAGATCTGTAGGGTGGCTTTCTATGCATGGCAAGTCCTATAACACAGAAGAGACATATACCCTTAGTTCCTGACAACCAGAAATGTTAAGTTGGAGACCAAATAGTTGATTTTCACCAAATCCAAAGAGTGACGGTGAATGTGTGCTGTGCACTCTAAATGTACTCTCTCCTATGAGTAATTCGTATTTGTATGTTTAGTCATACCAGGTAAACAGACAAATGGACATAAGTCTTAAATAAGTACTTAGGTTCTATCTTTAACTTGGGGTTGAAAATGGAGTAAAATGTGGAATGCCTGCTGTACACAAAAGCTGAGATTAAGTGCTCTTGGTGGTAGAGGAAGAAAGAAAATGTTAAATCATCTGCTTGTATGTCTGCTGTCCTTTTACCTACCCAAATCTCCTTATAAAGCAGTGTTCTTATAAGCACAAGTTAACACTATTAACTGAATACCATATGTGTGTATGTAGTAAAAGAACATATAGGTTACTAGATTAGGGTTCTAGAGATTACCTGAGCCAAGCATAAAATAAGAGGGATGAAGTAATCAAGGGAAAAATATTCTTGGAATTAAAAAAAGAAAGAAAAAAAAAGAACTGAAAAAGTTCACTAAGTTTTAGATGAGAAATACTGTTTCTAGAGGGAAAAAAAGGTTGGCCACGCCTTGACCAGTTTGGGTCAGCGGTTAGAACGTTGGCCTGTAGACCAAAGGGTCATGGGTTCCATTCCAATCAAGGGCACGTACCCAGGTTGCAGGTTCAATCCCTGGCCCTGGCTGGGGTTGTGCAAGAGAACCAGTCAATGTGTCTCTCTCACACTGATGTTTCTCTCTCTCTCTCCTCCTTCCACTCTATCTAAAATTCAATGGAAAAATATTCTCAGGTGAGGATTAACAAACAAACAAAGTTGGCCAAAGTAGATGGAATGGAAAACATGCAGAATTCTAGTTGGTGGAAGACAAGGTAATTTCTTGAATTTGAACAAATAGTAGGAAGTATCTGCAAAAATGTTTGCAAACCAGAAACTATCATGCATTGCTGAGATGAATATAAACTATTGCAATTGCTTTGGAGGAGAATTTGGTAATGGTGCAAAAGTGCAAACCCCATTATCCAGTAATTCTAATAGATGTAGATCCTAGAGAAACTTGTTACAGGTTGTTCATTGTAGAACTATTTGTAGTTATGGCAACAATCTACATGTCCTACAACAAGGGAAATGGTGAGAAATAATACACACACACAGATTGGGTAAATCATATGCCCTTAGATACATAAGTTAAAATGAATGAATGGAATATATAAGTTATCAATATAGATTTCCAAAACAATGTTAATCAAAACAGGTTTCCAAATAATATATACAGTATCTATGTAAATTAAAAAAAAAACCAACCACCACACAATAGCATATAGACAGGTAATACACAGACTGTTCAAGTATTAAACCAGGGATAAAAGGGTACCTGTTCAAGATGGCAGTATAGGAGTGACGTTAACATCAAAGTGGAGTGGGAAAACCTCTACCTAAGTACCCTCAAATTTACAACTAACCAGACATCTTCAACCCAACAAAGGTTCCCTTTGTTCAACACACTATCATGCCTGAGAGATCCACACACTGGTACATCTGAAGGTGGGTATTTGAATGGGTAGGGGAAGCGGAGTGGGGACAAGGATAGGGACAGTGCCTGCAGATGCAGTTCCCCTGCTGCTGTGGCTAAGCCCATGGCTCCACCTAACATAATAGTGGTGGCAGTGGTGTAGCAGGGGTGCATCCCACACATTACGGCCTGGCAGAAGGTAAGAGGGGCAGAAGCAGTGTCTGCACCTAAGAATTCGGCTCCCTCCCCTGACTGCAGCACAGTCAGGGAGACATATCTACAGCCTCTTTGCTATAGCACAGTGGTGTCAGCAGCCACAGGGAACCCCAGGTAGCAGCTTGGCAGGTTCACAAATCCAGCCTACACCCACATGTCACATTTCCCCACAGTGATGGTGATGCCTGGAGACTCAGGTGACTCAGACAAAATAGGGACATGCACCCAGTCACCCAGGTGGAGACTCCTATGACCACAGTGACACTTCCACCAACTGCAATCCCAGAGGAGCAAAGTAGTTCAAGAGAAAACAAAAAATGGTGCTACAGCACCATCTACTGGAAAACAAAAGACCTAATTATCAACCTGATGAAATGTTAAAATCAAGACTGTACCTAAAGGTATTCACTGCTTCAAATATGCTACTTCAAATATGCTAACAGAGGAACAACCCCATCAAGCACCATGAACAACCAAGGTAAAAGGTAACAGAAAATGACAATTCTCCAGAAACAAAATTCAAAGTAATGGAACACTGTCATCTAAATTACAAGAAGATTCAAGGCAGTGTGCGTGCTGAGAACCTGAAGCCACAGTGCTGGCGACTGGTTTGTGTTTGCTACCTTTAAATGTGTAGCAGTGTTCATTCTTTGAAGCCAAAATGTGTGTGTGTGTGTGTGTGTGTGTGTGTGTGTGTGTGTGTTTGGTTATCATTCATTCAAGTATAGTCATCCACATTGCTGCTCCACAGGGAGAGATGTTTCAATTCAAACTCAGACATTGGAGAAGGCATTAGAGAAATAACTGTTAGAGAAAGCATTGAAGGGAACAGAAGCTGCTGCTTGCTTTTTTATTTTTTATCCTCACCTGAGGACATTTTTCCTTTTTTTTTGTTCAGATAGAGTGGGAGGGAGAGAGAGAAACATCGACGTAAAAGGGACACATCGAGTGGCTGCCACCTGCACAACACCAACCAGGGCCGGGGACAAACTGCAACTGAGGTACATGCTCCTAGTAGGAACCAAACCCAGGTCTCTCCGGACCGCAGGCTGATGCTCTAGCCACTGAGCCAAACTGGCCAGGGCAGCTGCTTGCTTTTTTAAATGTTTTTATTGATTCTTTGGAGATAGAGAAACATCGATCGGCTGCCTCCTGTATGCCCCCAACCTGGGATCGAGCCCACAACCCCAGCATGTGCCGACTAGGAATCAAACTGGGACCTCTCAGTTCATGGGACGACACTCAATCCACTGAACCACACTGGCCAGGCACGAAGCATTTGAGGCCATTAAGTAAATGAAGACTTCTGAGTGAGAGTCCAAGATTTTGTTCGTTCAGTTCTATAATCATTTAACCAGCATATTATTCTAGAAACTTTTCATGCATACTGACTATCCACCAGTGAGACCGACCATGCTGGCCTCAGATTTGAGTCTCAGTTGGGTTTTGTCATTTACTGACTCTAAGACCTTAGACAAGTTTTGTCCTTGAGCCTCATTTTTCTCATCTATAAAACAGAGATATTACCTTAACTCAGGTATTGTTACAGTTAAAAGTGAGGTCTCGCCTCTCCACACAGCTAATCTGTGCCAACCCCTACTGATGTCAAAGCCAACTGTTTGCCTTCAGGTTGGAGGACCTCCCACAGCACCCTTGTTTAGTCCTGATGAGAGCAGAGAGCCCAGAAGGCCAGCAGCTAAGGCCCTCTGGAAGCTTTCTCCTGGTCTTCTGAAAGCCAAAGCCCAGGGGCTTTTCTCAGCAGCAGGGACAGACAGAGCCTGCACCTCCCCTCTCTACTTACTTATGGGTTGATGCCTTGGTTCTGAGCATGAACTTGAAGTTTTCGGACAGGTGCAAGCACATGGGCACCTTAGTGCCCAGCCCTGTGTGCCTCATGGTGTGCCTAACCTTCTCCATCCTCTGGAGCCGGCAGCCTTGCCTTGCACCTGCACATGGCTTGGGGCAGCTTTGGCCCAGCCCAAGGAACCTTTGGCCTTCTAGCTCCCAACTTCTGGCTCCAGGTAGTGGCAGCCGTAGCGGTGCAGTCTGGGGACATCAATTTTAAAATTTAATTCTAGAAATAATATGCATCCCTTAAAGTTTAATAGAGGTTAATATAAGCAATAAAAAAAAAAACACATTTAGCCCCTGGCCGGTTTGGCTCAGCGGTTAGTGTCGGCCTGTGGTCCAGAGAGACCCAGGTTCGGTTCCTGCTAAGGGCATGTACCTCAGTTGCAATTTGTGCCCGGCCCTGGTTGGGTCGTGCAGGCGGCAGCCACTCGATGTGTCCCTTTCACGTTGATGCACTCCAGTGTTCACAGTAGTATAATTGACAACAGTCAAGACATGGAAACAACCTAAGTGTCCAGTGACAGATAAATGGATAAAGAATGCATATAGCCCTGGCCGGTTTGGCTCAGCAGTTAGAGCGTTGGCCCATGGACTGGAGAGTCCCAGGTTTGGTTCCAGCTGCAGTGATTCTCAACCTTCCTAATGCCGTGACCCTTTATAGTTCCTCATGTTATGGTGACCCCCAACCATAAAATCATTCTTGTTGCTACTTCATAACTGTAATTCTGCTACTGTTATGTCTTAGGCGACACGTGAAAGGGTAGTTCAACCCCCAAAGGGGTCACGACCCACAGGCTGAGAGACGCTGATTAAGGACACGTACCTTGGTTGCAGTTTATCCCTGGCCCTGGTTGGGGTCATGTGGATGGCAACCACTCAATGTCTCTCTCTCGCATCAATGTTTCTCCCTCCCTCCCTGCCTCCCTCCCGCTCTATCTGAAGATAAATGCAGAAAAAAAGTCCTTGGGTGACGATTAAAAAAAAAAAAAAGCATATATATGCAATGTAATATTATTCAGCCATAAAAAAAGAAGGAAATCCTGCCATTTGTGACAACACAGATGGGCACTGAAGGCATTATGCTGAAGGAAATGTCAGACAAAGAAAGATTAATGCTATATGATCTCATGTGGGACCTAAGAAAACTCGTGCAGAGAACAGGCTGGCGGGTGACAGAGGTCGGGGATTGGGGGTGGGCGAAATGTGTGAAGGTGGACAAAAGGTACAAGCTTCCAGTTATAAGTTCTGGGATGTAATGTACATCATAGTGACTATAGTTAAAAATATTGTGATACATATTTGAAAGCTACTAAGAGATTAGATCTTGAAAGTTATATGTTAACTGAACTTACTGTTATGCAGTATATCATTTTGCAGTATATACATGTATCAAATCATTATGCTGTACACCTTAAGTGAATACAGTGATATATGTCAATTATATCTCAATAAAATTGGAAAGAAAAAATAAAAACAGGAATAAGAATAAAGATGCCAATTTTAAGAGAGTAGTTTCTTTGAGGGAAGGAAAAAGAATGGACTGTGGGAAAGACAGATGAAATATTTCAACTCTTCAACACAAAGGTGAAAAGCAAATATAAATGTTAACATCTACTTCTAGAAGGTGAAGATATTTTATTTTTGAACCTTTTTATATTTCTGAAATATTTAAAATGAGAAAGCCAGTCATTATAAACACATGGAAGTGCCTGAGTGGTTCCTTAGCCTGGCCTCTCTGGGATAGGTACCTGGCCTTTGCTTTTTCTGCCCACACTCCATGATGCTGTCACTGTGCTGAGACAGTGTCTCATAATTTCCACTCTCCATCTCTTCATTTCCAGTATCTTCTTCGTGGTGAGTCTTTTCTTTAATTCGATCACCCAGGGCACTTTTTAACATCTATCAATACAATTCAACATCTTTTCATTGATTTCAGAATGCCAGTTGGAAGGAGTAAATAGACATAACCTTTAGAAAGCTTCCCCTGATGATTAGGCACTAATAACAAGTTTTCAGATGCTCATACATGTTTAGTTTCTAGAGAGTTATGTATATCAGTGCTAAGGACTTACTCAGTTTCAATAAACTTTAGAATAAGTCAACAAGGATTCACTACATTTATTGAGTGATATACCCCAAAACTGTAATTATTACCTTTTGTGAGAACCCAAGATCCATCTAATTTTATAACAACTCTGTCTTTAGTGACAAAGGGAAACTATATAGATGTATGAAAAGATAAATGGTTTAAAGCAATCTCGTATGTTAAATGATTAGTTTCCATCAGAACTCAATAAAAATTTAGATATATCTGTATCAAATTTGATTATATCATGAAAGGCTAGGAGATCATTTTTCATCCCATGTCCTACCTGTCGGACTTAAGGAACATTTTCACAGCAATGGAAACACAAGTAATTTTCCAGTTTTCACTTTCAATTGTAAGATCACTTAAACGCTCATCAACTATGACATCATCAATACAGATAAAAATAAGACTTGCCCAATCTAGTTCTGAGAGCCGTTTAGAGAGTTTTTCTGATACTTCATGTAATTCTTGTTCTGTTAACCTATTTTTTGGCCTCTGAGAGAAAGGTGAATCCCAGGATGAGACTGCAGCTCTGTTTTCATATCTGTAATAAAAGTGACATACAAGTAGCCAAGTATACACTACCTTAGTTTAAAATAACTATAATATGTGCTTTAACAAATATTTCATACTGGTCTTCACAGCTAAGTTTGGAGAGTATACCCTTAACTCTTCAAATCCCTTTACCAAACACTGAAGTAATGTTACCTTTTTCCTTTGGGAAACTTCCTTGTCCTAGGACCTTGGACTTGAGCTGGATATGTTTCCTGTTTGCTATCTTTAAGCATCTTGGAAGTTAAAAAAACTCTATTATCTGGTTCCTATTAAAAACAAAAGAGAGTTGGTTTGAAAAACTAAAGAAGATACATAAAAACATTTTGGGTGTGGGGGTGGGGGGACCTGTGGCACAAAGCTAGGTCCCTTTATTCTCCATGTTTTGCTTTTTTTTATTTTATTTTATTATTATTTTTTTTTATCCTCACCCGAGGACATTTTTCCATTTTTTGTTCAGGTAGAGTGGGAGGGAGAGAAAGGAACAGAGAGAGAGAGAGAAACATCGACGTGAAAGGAACACATCGAGTGGCTGCCACCCGCACAACCGACCAGGGTCGGGGACAAACTGCAACCGAGGTACGCGCCCTTAGCGGGAACCGAACCCGGGTCTCTCAGGATCGCAGGCCGACGTTCTAACCGCTGAGCCAAACCGGCCAGGGCCATGTTTTGCTTTTTTTAAAAAAATAGAATATTTGTCAAAATACTCTACTGATCCCCAACACCAAAAGAATGGAGCACCGTCTGCAAACGTGTACTTAGAGAAAAAGTCAGGTGAGGTGTTGGTAAATAGGAAAATTCAGGGATTATGGCTACACCTGGACAATAAAAAATGATCATATCACAAGTGGAATGTATTAAAGTCATTATCTTTCATATCAAGATAAACTGTCCGAAACTGAAACAGTTAAAGACAAAACCTCCCAAAATATGAATATAAACTAATATTTTCAACAATTTATTTTTTTAACCATAAAGGGAATCTTATGGAAAATATTGCTTGTGGTGAAGAAACATTTCATGTTGCACTTAAGTATCATTTTCTTCTTTTAAAGTTAAATGTAATATTCTTTAGTAAATAACAATATTTTTTAAAACTTCTTTTATTCAAGTTTAAGTGTCCTGCTCAACAGTTAATTTCAAAATGAATATAACTACTTAACTGCCATTCAGGTCAAGAAATAGAATATTACCAGCGCCCTGGCCAGTTTGGCTCAGCAGTAGAGTATCAGCCCGTGGCCCAATGAGTTGTGGGTTCGATTCCAACCAAGGGCACATACCTCGGTTGCGGTTTGTCCCAGCCCTCGTCGGAGTCATGCAGGAGGCAACAGTCAATGTGTCTGTCTCATGTCAATGTTTCTCTCTCCCTCCTTTTTTCTCCCTCCCACGCTATCTGAAGATAAATAGAAAAATATCCTCCGGTGAGGATTAAAAAAAAATTATCACCAAATCATAAGCCCTTTCACCCACCCCTCCCCACTGCCCAAAGCCTCTCCCAAATGTAACCACTATCCTATGATTCCTTTTCTCTCTCTCTTTTTTTTTTCCTCCTCACCCGAGGACATTTTTCCATTTTTTGCACAGATAGAGTGGGAGGGAGAGAGAGTAAGGGAGAGAGAGAAACATCGACGAGAAAGGGACACATCGAGTGGCTGCCACCCGCACGACCAACCAGGGCCGGGAACAAACTGCAACCGAGGTACATGCCCTTAGCGGGAACCGAACCCGGGTCTCTCCAGACCGCAGGCGGATGCTCTAACCGCTGAGCCAAACCGGACAGGGCTCTCTCTCTCTTTTTTTAAAAAATATGTTTTTAGCCCTGGTCAGTTTGGTTCAGCGGTTAGAGAGTCAGCCTGTGGACCAAAGAGTTGTGAGTTCTATTCAGGTCAACGGCACGTACCTCGGTTGCAATTCAGTCCCCAGCCCTGGTCAGGGTTGTGTGGGAGGCAATCAATCGATTTGTTTTTCTCACATCAATGTTTCTTTCGCGCACTCTCCCTCTCTCTCCCCCTCTACCTGAAAAAATAAAAATGGAAAAATAGCCTCAGGTGAGGATTAAAGAAAAAAAATTACGTTTTTATTGATTTTTTTTTTTTTTATCCTCACCCGAGGACATTTTTTCCATTTTTTTGTTCAGGTAGAGTGGGAGGGAGAGAGAGGAAGAGAGAGAGAGAAACATCGATGTGAAAGGGACACATCGAGTGGCTGCCACCTGCACAACCAACCAGGGACGGGAACAAACCGCAACCGAGGTATGTGCCCTTAGCGGGAACCGAACCCGGGTCTCTCGGGACCGCAGGCCGATGCTCTAACTGCTGAGCCAAACCGGCCAGGGCACGTTTTTATTGATTTTTTGAGAGAGAAAAAGGGAGCGAGAAACATCTGTGTGAGAAAGAAACACTGATCAGCTGCCTCCTGCAAGCCTCCCCATTGGAGATGGAGTCAGCAACCTGGGTATGTGCCCTGACTGGGAAACAAGCCAGAACCTCTCAGTCCATGGGATGATGCTCAATCCACTGAGCCACACCGACCAGTCAGGCCCTCTCTTTTTTTTTTTCATCTACCCTCCTATCTGAATAGATGCATAGACTGTTAACAAAGATGATCACCTAATGCTAATGATGCTCCTTTCATCTCTGTACTTTTTCTGCATTGTTGGACTTTTTAAAAATGAGAATGTATGATTATTTGTAAACTTACTCTTTGCATATACCTGCCTGTTATTATTTCTAGGAAGATAGAGACATGTTAACTGCATAAAATAATTTTTTTTTTTTAAAGAACAAAGGAGTAGAAGCAAATAGACCAAAATATTAATAGCAGTTCATGCTGGATAATAGAATTATGGATAAAAGGTTATTTTTCACACTGTTTATACTTTTAAACATTTACATTTATTTAATTAGGGACATACAATGTGGGTATTGAAGCTAGAGTGCATGAGTTCAAATCCTGACTACAACTGCTGTATGACCTGAGATGATACTAAACCTCTCTCTATCAGCTACCCCACGGGAAATAAAAATAGTACCTACTCCTAGAGCTGTGCTGAGAAGAGTAAATTATTCAATATCATCAAATACCTAGAACTGTGCCTGGTACAAGTAAGCACTCAGTATGTGTTGGCTCTTACTAGTTCGCTTTTCATACATTCATGCTGCCCCATATTCCTAAAGTAAGAACATGTAGGTATACGCAGAGGTAAATTTTAAGTAGTAGAGTGCTCTGATTAGTGTAATATCTTTGACTACTATTCTAGCAGAGACTTCTTTAAATCTATAGACATCTAACCAATTCAAAGTAAGCTTTTCCACTTACCAAAGAAAATGCTGTGCCCTCTCCAGAAGAATTCATGGCAGGGGAGCAGTGACTTGAACGCAAGTATTCTTTTCCTATGGGGCAGGATGCTCGAGGCTCTGAAGGGTGGTAGGGTGGATGTAATGGAATAGCTGATCGGATAGGCTCCCCTAGCTTCCTAGCACTTGGAATCATATCCACAGGAGGAATTTCTGCTTGGATAAATTTAAGTGAACATTAAGATGAAATTCTAAGAAATCAGCATATACACACACACACACACACATACCTATATAAACATGTTCACAATACTACCTATAAATATATTTTAACTTGATTTTCTAAAAAGCACACAAAAACAAATCAAGGACTCGTCCGCAGTGAACAAGTAGGGACCTAATTAAATTAGGAAGAATGTAATTTTAATATTATCATAAAAGTTTCCTAAAAAGTTATTTAAAAGCAATGAAAAAACCTAATGACAACCCTAAATGGCTTGAAGAATAGCTCTATAAATTATGGTTCATCCACATGTTATAAAGGTAGCCATTAACAATGGTTTTAGGTAATGCTACCCATATGGAAACCCCAGAGATAACAATAAGAATATTTTTCAAGTTACTACATTTTGTCATTCACTAGTAATGTGAAGACCACCACCTGATAAACTAATATATTGGAGACTTTTTTTTTTTTAATCCTCACCAGAGGATATTTTTCCATTTATTTTCAGGTAGAGGGGGAGGGAGGGAGAAAAAGGGAAAGAGGGGGAGAGAGAAAGAGAAACATTGACGTGAGAGAGAGACATTGATTGGTTGCCTCCCTCATGACCCTGACCAGGGCCGGGGACCAAACCATAACCGAGGTACGTGCCCTTGACTGGAATCGAACCCGTGACTCTGGTCCACAGGCTGACGCTCTAACCACTGAGCCAAACTGGCCAGGGCAATTGGAGACTCTTATTGTCCTAAAGTATTTCAGAGAGGATTTAGGTAACAAAATACTGGATGCAAAACAGGTGCCCAAAGACCATCTTAAAAAGAAATCAGTTAATAATTAATTACAAATATTTATAAGATCATATAAAGCCAAAGAACCACATAAAGTATAGAGCAACAAAAGTAAAAGGGCTAATAGCAACAGCAATGTCCCAGAAACTAATTATTGTCTCCAATTCACAGCAATTGTCCACAAACTTCTAACATTACTACTCACTATCTTCAACAAAGGATGTCCCACTCTTGGACAAAAAACTAGATGAAGGAGGGTTCAATACTTCTTCACGTGATTTAAAACATGGTACAGTTGAGGCTTGTTCAGATTGCATTTTGTTAGGACCTTGGGTACCTAAAAAAGAAAATATTAAACATAAACATTTTTGCCCAGCTGGTGTGGCTCAATGCTTGAGCATCAATCTATGCACCAAGACGACCACTGGTTCGACTCCCTGTCAGGGCATATGCCTGGGATGTGGCTCGATCCCCAGTAGGGGGCATGCAGGAGGTAGCCAATCAATGTTGATGCTTCTCTCGTGGATGTTTCTCTCTCTCTCTCTCTCTCCCCCTTCTTCTCTCTAAACAATCAATAAAAAACAAAAAAAAAGGTGTTTGTAAAATTGTGAATGTCATACCAAAACCAAGAATTTTGTACCCAGAGGATAAAATCTAGGAATGACATACTCATAGAACTATGTTGGTGTGATTGCTCAAAATAACAATTACCAGGTAGCAAGATGTATGTTGTTCTGTAGCCCAGAATCATTTATGCAACCTGAAAGCTAAGTCTTACACAATGTTTCATTAGTTTGCTTTAGAAAAATAGATACCAGAGTTGTAGAAATGCTGACTGTTATGTAGGTATAGCTCTAAGATAGGGGTCTTGGCTGGTATCATAATCAAAGATTTATAGATCAAACAAATTAAAATATTGAAATTGAGGGAATACCCACTTCGCTCCTTTACAAAGACTTTGCATAAATGAAATGGATTCATGACTTCCCCTCTCCTAATGACTTTTTTTTTTTTAATCCTCACCCGAGGACATTTTTCCATTTTTTGTACAGATAGAGTCGGAGGGAGAGAGAGGAAGGGAGAGAGAGAGAGAAACATCGACGTGAAGGGACACATCGAGTGGCTGCCACCCGCACGACCAACCAGGGCCGGGGACAAACTGCAACCGAAGTACGTGCCCTTAGCAGGAACCGAACCCGGGTCTCTCCGGACCACAGGCCGACGCTCTAACCGCTGAGCCAAACTGGCCAGGGCCTAATGACTTTTTTATTATTATTATTATTTTTTTTAATCCTCACCCGAGGATATTTTTCCATTTTTGGTACAGATAGAGTGGGAGGGAGAGAGAGGAAGGGAGAGAGAGAGAGAAACATCGACGTGAAGGGACACATCGAGTGGCTGCCACCCGCACGACCAACCAGGGCCGGGGACAAACTGCAACCAAAGTACGTGCCCTTAGCGGGAACCGAACCCGGGTCTCTCCGGACCGCAGGCTGACGCTCTAACCGCTGAGCCAAACTGGCCAGGGCCCTAATGACTTTTTTAAAAAAAATCCTTAACCGAGGATATTTTTCCATTTATTCTCAGACGGACTGGGAGGGAAGAGAAACATTGATGTGAGAAAGACACATCAATTGGTTGCCTCCTGCATGACCCTGACCAGGGCCGGGGATAAACTGAAATTGAGGCACTGCCAGCTAGGGCCTAATGACTTTTTATCCCTTTTTCTTTTTTTTAACCTCACCCGAGGACATTTTTCCATTTTTTGTTCAGGTAGAGTGGGAGGGAGAGAGAGGAACAGAGAGAGAGAGAGAGAGAAACATTGATGTGAAAGGGACACATCGAGTGGCTGCCACCCACACGACCAACCAGGGCCGGGGACAAACTGCAACCGTGGTACGTGCCCTTAGCGGGAACCGAACCCGGGTCTCTCTGGACCGCAGACCGATTCTCTAACTGCTGGGCCAAACCGGCCAGGGCTCCCTTTTTCAATTTTATTTTTAAATTTTAAATGTTGTCACTAGTGCAGATGTTCTCCATTTCCCCCACTTCATCCACCTCCACCCACCCTCACCTCCCTTGGCCTTCACCACACCAATGTCTGTATCCATGGGGTATGCATGTATGTTCTTTAGCTAATCCCCCTTTTTTTAACCCTCACCCAAGGATATTTTGATTAATTTTAGAGAGAGGAAGGGGGAGAGAGAGAAACATCCATGTGAGAGAGAGACACCAACCTGCTGACTCTTATATGAGCCCCAACCAGGGACTGAACCTGCAACCTAGATATGTACCCTGACTGGGAATTGAACCTGCGACCTTTTTGTGTACAGGATGATGTTCCAATCAACTGAGCCACACTGGCCAGGGCTCCCTTTTTCAATTTAATGAAAGACTTCACAATAAACTTATTCTTCACTTTGAAGGTATGAGAATGTACCCTAAAAATTCGTTGATACCAAAATGATCAACTGACAATCACTAAAAACAGAAAAATTCACCTTGTACAGATCCCCAAATCCACGCAATTTATTCCAAGACACCATGTATTTTAAAAATTTTGATACTCGCCCTGGCCAGTTTGGCTCAGCAGTTAGAGCATCAGCCTGTGGACCAAGTAGTCGTGGGTTCAATTCCAATCAAGAGCACGTGCATCAGTTGCGGTTCGGTCCCCACCCTGGTTGGGGTCATGCAGGAGGGAACCAGATGGTGTGTCTCTCACATCTATGTTTCTCTCTCTCTCTCTCTCTCTCTCTCTCTCCTTCCCACTCTGTCTGAAAAGAAATGGAAAAATATTCTTGAAAAATAAATAAATAAATAACATTTCTGACACTCATCTGATGTCTTTTAAAAATCAGCAAACATAGCCCTGGCCAGTTTGACTCATCGGTTAGGGCGTCGGCCTGCGGTCCTGAGAGACCCTGGTTCAGTTCCCGCCAAGGGCACGTACCTCCGTTGTGGTTTGTCCCTGGCCTTGGTTGGTCGTGCAGGTGGCAGCCACTCGATGTGTCCCTTTCACGTTGATGTTTCTCTCTCTCTCCCTCCTACTCTACCTGAACAAAATATGAAAAAATGTCCTCGGCTGAGGATGGAAAAAAAATCAGCAAACATGGGGACCAAGTCCTTCTGATTCCAAGGCCCATTAAAAAAAAAAAAAAATCAGCAAACGTCTTTTTGTGTTCTCTTCCACAAGTCAATGCAATGTGGCCAATTCATTTAAAAAATGCACCTCTCTCTCTGTACCTTCATATTTCACATGAATACCATATCTCTCTTAAAGCTAATGTTCAAAACTCATAATTTGGTCCACAATTTCTCTACTACCTGATACTGAATTTGTCATCAGTTTGACCCCATGCTCTTCTTTTTAACCTGGGCCCATTTCTTTTTTCTTCAGTTTCTTTTTCCTTCTATGGATCAAATTCAATTTATAATTTTCCTTTGCAGATTTTCAATAGGATTTAGTCACAAGTCATTAGGAAAACAGTTGATGAGGTTACAATAACATTAAATGTTAATGGCAGTAATAATCAAGCCAGCACTGTTTAAAAGTCTTTGTGTTTTTTTTTAATTAAATTTTGTCATTCTAGTCGACATTCAATATTACATTAGTTTCACATATATAACATAGTGGTTAGACATGTATATAACTTACAAAATGATCCCCCAAGTCTAATACCTACCTGACACTATACATAGTTATTACAGTATTATTGACTATATTCCCTATGCTATACTTTACATCTCCAGGCCTAGTTTTTGTTTGTTTGTTTGTTTGTTTTATTCCTCACCTGAGGATATTTTTCTACTTATCAGATAGAGGGGGAGGGAGGGAGGGAGAGAGACTAAGAGAAACATCAATGTGATAGAGCCACATCAACTAGCTGCCTCCCTCACAACCCGACCAGAGCCAGGGATGAACCACAACTGAGGTACGTACTCTTGACCGGAATCGAACCTGTGACTCATTGGTCCACGGGCTGACGCTCTAACCACTGAACCATGCTGGCCAGGGCAGGAAAATACTTAGCTTTTCACCACAGAGTATGGTATTAGCTGTGAGTCTGTCATATATGGAATTTCTAACATTGAGGTATATTCCCTCTTTTCCCACTGCTGAGAGTTTTTAACATAAATGGATGCTAAATTTTGTCAAATGCTTTTTTCTGCATCTACTGATCTGATCACGATTTTTATCCTTCATTCTGTTTATGTGGCACATTACCTTAATTGGTTGATGGTATCACAGAAATAAATCCCACTTGATCTTGATGATCTTATTAATGTATTGCTGAATTCAGTTTGCTGATATTTTGTTAAGGATTTCTGCATCTATGTTCATCAGCATGGCCTATAACTTTTTTTTTTTTTTTTTGAGTAATGTTTTTTTCTGGTTTTGGAATCAGGGTAATAGTGGCCTTGTAAAATGAGCTTTGGAGCTTTTATTGCTTTTCAGTTTTTTGGAATAGTTTGAGGATAGTGGTTAATTCTTTGAATGTTTGGTAAAATTCACCTGTGAAGCCATCTGGTCCAGAACTTTTGTTTTTTGGGAGTGTTTTGATCACTGAGGCAGATCGGGGATAGACTGGGCTTTGCAGGGTGAGTTTTCCAGGAATAGAAAGGAAGAGGCATCCCAGCAGAAGAAACAATATAATGTCAGAGAAGAGCATGGCAATCAAGTGGGCAGAACAGGGAGTGGGATGGTTGGAGGAGGGTGAGAAGAAAGGCTCAAAATGGGCCTGAAAGATATTCAGGTTTACTGTGTATAAGCAGTAGATTGTTAGAAATGTGGCCTGAAGCCTGGGAGGAAAACTGCCACTGGATGTACAGACCTGTGAGCTGAAACTATGAAAAAAGCGAGTCACCCAGTTCAGGAAACTATACTTAAAGAGTACTCAGAACGTAACTAGACTGTTAAGCTGCATCTGGAATTCTCTTCCCATGGCATCAAGTCCCATGGGCATCCAACTATTTGCCCATATGCCAATGATTCCCATTTCAGGTAGCTGTTCATATTTAGTGAGTAATGGTGGTATTCTGGAATTTCAGTTCTTAAGTCAAGTTAGGGCTCTCTCTATTCTCAACTTTAAACACTCCTCAGTATAACTACTTACATTCTCATTGTTGTATACTGAATAACAATAACTGATATTTAAAGTTTAACTACTCACCATTACTTCTAAGAGAAAAGGTGTGTGCTGTGTCTCCAAGTCTAATTATTTCACCAGTGGATTCTGCTTCATCTCCATCCCAAGAGGGGCCCAAAGTCTCAGATGACAAGGAACACCTGAAAGAGTTCCCTCACTTACTCAGAGCCCAGCCTGACCACAGAGGGCCCTTCCCATGAGAACCCCAAGAGCTGCTTCAAGGAGCCTGCCTGTGAGTATTCAGCTTTCTCATTGCTATGCACAGAAAGAGAAAGACACATTCTTCCACCACTCACTTCTTGCTGCTTATCTGAGAATTAGATATTTAAAAGAAAACAATATTGTAATAGTCAACATCTAGTTAGCAGACATATAATCAAACCTGTAACGGAATATTTTGTCTATGAAAGTTGCACATTTTAAAACTCTGATATTGGTCAATGATATTGGCACACCAGGGTTCAGTAACCCAGCACTTTTATCCTGCAGGTGGTGTATAAATAGTCACAGCCTTTTGGAAAAGCAATTTAACAACTTTTAACAGCCTTATAATATTAATGCTCTTTGACTTTGAACACAACTTAAAGATAATGGGAGAGAAAAGGGAGAAAGAATAAACAAAGGTACAGATCACATTAAAAAATAATATAAAAACAAAGGAACAACCAACTCCACTTTAAAAACATGGTTTAGTAAATTATGATGCACCCATAAAAATGGTATGTTGCCCTGGCCGGTTTGGCTCAGCAGTTAGAGCGTTGGCCTGCAGTCCAGAGAGACCCAGGTTCGTTTCCCCGCTAAGGGCATATACCTCGGCTGCAGTTTGTCCCCAGCCCTGGTTGGGTTGTGTGGGTGGCGGCCACTCCATGTATCCCTTTCACGTTGATGTTTCTCTCTCTCTCTTCTTCTCTCTCCCTCCCGCTCTATCTGAATAAAAGATGGAAAAATGTCCTGGGGGAGGATTAAAAAAAAAAAAAAAAAGTATGTTATCACAGTGATTAAAAATGATTATAAAGAGTTTAAGGACTTGGAGAAAGACTTGATGTGCTAATTTTGAAATGCAGGAAACAAAATTATACAGGCAATATGACTAAATTATTAGTATTTTTTCCTGTATTGATTTTAGATAGAGAGGAAGGGAGAGAGAGATAGAAGTATCTATAAGAGAGAACACTGACTGGCCACCTCCTGCATGCCCCCCACTGGGGATTGGGCCCACAACCTGGGCATGTGCCTTGACTGGGAATCAAACCAGCGACCTCTTGGTGCATGGACTGACACTCCACCACTGAGCCACACCGGCCAGGCATAATATAACTAAATTAAAAAAAAACAGGTCCTGGCCTGTTTGGCTCAGCGGTAGAGCATCGGCCTGCGGTCCAGAGAGACCTGGGTTTGGTTCCCACGAGGGGTGCGTACCTTGGTTGCAGTTTGTCCCCGGCCCTGGTGGGATCGTGCGGGTGGCAGTCACTCGATGTGTTCCTTTCACATCGATGTTTCTCTCTCTCTCTCTCTCTCTCTCTCTCCCTCCGCACTCTATCTGAACAAAAAATGGAAAAATGTCCTTGGGTGAGGATAAAAAATAAATAAAAATAAATTAAAAAAACAAAACAAAACAGTAAGAAAGACTAAAGTACAACAAAATGTTAAAGCAATTATTTAGTTCTAAATGGTAGATTTTGTTTTCCTTCTTTTTTATTTCTCTTCTTTCCAAGTTTTTAAAAAGGAACATAAACTACTTTGAAGATGAATGAAAAATTTAAAAATAAGTAGGTGGTTAATGCTGAGAATTAAGTACTGTATTTAGCACAAGGTTCTTAAAACTCCCTCAGGGAGGTTTAAAAGTTAGTAAAATTTTCACATTAGCTTTCTTTCTTTTGATGCCATTCTGGTATATTGTATGCAATTTTAATTCTTAGGAGAAGGAAAAAGCATAACTTGTTTTGATTAAATTCATAGACATTGAGTGGTACCTCCTAAAAGAAACTCTTTTCCATGATGATCTGGATTCTTTAGTACTTTCTGACTCTTCCAAAGGTTCTTCTCCATGGGATTCTTTAAAACCCTGTCCAGTTTCACCTGTTTAGAATAGATAAAAATAATAATACCAAAAACCAAAAACAAACATCCCAAGTTAATATACTATTTCTATACAGGGGGTGAGTAAAGGAAAGAACAGTAAGGCACCCTCAACTCCTGGTAAACAGGGCTCTTGCAAAAGTAAAATTTGAAAGAACCAATTCATTACCTATAATAAAAATGTACTACCTGAGTAACAATAAAACAATACAAGTGTTGCTTTAAAAGCAAGCTCTACAGTTGTATTAAGCAATGTTTTCTTATTTAAACTAGGTGGTAGGTCTTATTTATGACTCTTTATACATCTCTATCTGTAAGGGGTGTCTGAGGCAAGATGACTAGGGTGTGGCTTCAGAAAAACATGACTGTGTCAGCCTTCTTTAAGCTCTAAGAGTCAGGCCAAGTCAAGTCTTGGATAATATTTTCCTTAGGACTTGAACAACCTCTTTTCTACCCCAACATATTTGATGAATACACTTTCACCAGAAGCACTAACTTACCAGGGGAGTGATTTCAGAAGTGTGCTGGTAAAATAGCCTATGATTCAGATAAGACTCCTCTGCATTTACCAAGCAACATTTAATAACATTAGGTAACAATCATTGTGCAGTTACTTTGAGCTAAGCTTGGTGCTAAACTGTTTATGCATACCAATTTACTTAACCATCTTTACAATTGTAAAAGAATTTCAACGAGAAAACTGAGGCTTAGAGAGCTTGAGTCATACAGTGAGCAGCACTTAGCCCATGGTCTGCCTCAAAATCCCCTTTTTTCCAGTGGTAAATGAAATACTAGCTCAGGTACCAGGAAGAAGCTACTCTGCACACCTGAAGTGACTAGTGATAATAAAGATTTATTTCCCATTATTAATTGGTGTTTTGAAGAATCTCATCAGTTATAGGTAATACTGCCATATAAACTTAGACCTGCAAAGGTAACACTCAGACTTTAGAAAACGCTATCCAACTAAGGTAATACTACATAGGGAGCCCTCTCTGAGCAACTCCCTCCTAGCAGCACTAAGCTGTCCACATATTACTGACCTCCCCTGGGAAGATCCCTCTCTCAGCATTTAACTGCTACCAGATTCAGAGAGAACAAACTCTAAGTTCTGCCCTCTATCCGCACTGCCCTATTCTCGGCCAGGTCACTATCATCCCTCCCCAACCTGCAATCAAGCACTACATTGTAAAAACTGCTGCTGTCATAATAATTTTCTAAATTAATCAATCACTTTACTTAGAAGTGGTTTTCTACCTCTTAATCTTGCAGCTAAAATGACTAAGCCACAGAGCATCAAAATACCCACTGGTAGCCCTGGCCGGTTTTGCTGAGCGGTTAGAGCGTTGGCCTGTGGTCCAGAGAGACCCTGGTTTGGTTCCTGCTAAGGGCATGTACCTCAGTTGCGGTTTGTCCCCGGCCCTGGTTGGTCGTGCGGGTGGCAGCCACTCGATGTGTCCCTTTCACATCGATGTTTCTCTCTCTCTCTCTCTCTCTCTCTCTCTCTCTCTCTTCCTCCCACTCTATCTGAACAAAAAATGGAAAAATGTCCTCGGGTGAGGATAAAACAAAAGAAAAACAAATACCTACTGTTAGCCTTGAATCAGGCGAGCTTCACAGGTCATTCACTCTCCCTCAATTCTCCTACAATGGTTTTATTATATGTATTTATGGCTATCTCTGACTGGAATATAGGTTTCTTTGAGAACATTAAATATGGCATGCAGCTTTAAATCCTCTGAGAGTAGCTAAGCTAGTATTTAACATATATTACACACTCAAAAAACACTCAACACTTAAAATGTTCAAAAGTTTTTGAAACAAAAAAGAAATATCCAGAGTGGCATGCCTTTCTATCTTTCCTTCCAGGCCTTACCTACATATGCATTTAAATCTTTTTAGGAACAAGAATAAAAAGTAGAAAACTATCTCTAAATGAAGAATTTAAGATTAACTTCAAATGTTATAGTCACAGCATAAGTCTGACCATCAACAGTGTATTAGGAATGATGAACCATCCCAATTTTTTTGTCTTCATTTATATTAGAATTTGTTAATTGCTATTGTCACTGGAAATTTTTTATGAGTAACCTGACAATAGTAAACCCATTTTTTTCAAGTCTTCACCAGAAGAAAATTTTTTTTTTTATCCTCACCCGAGAACATTTTTCCATTTTCCATAGAGTGGGAGGGAGTGAGAGAGAGAGAGAAAAACATCGACGTGAAAGGGACACATCAAGTGGTTGCCACCCGCACAACCCAACCAGGACCAGGGACAAACTGCATCGGAGATACGTGCCCCTAGCGGGTCTCTCTGGACCGCAGGCCAATGCTCCAACCGCTGAACCAAACCGGCCAGGGCCAGAGGATATTTTTTCTTTTCTTTCTTTTTTTTTAGATAGAGTAGGAGGGAGAGGGGAAGTGGGGGTGGGGGAGGGGGAGGGGGGGGGAGAGAGAGACAGACAGACAGATAGACATTGACTGGTTGCCTCCCACTCGACCCCGACTGGGGCCAGGGATTGAAGCTTAAACCCAGGTACATGCCCTTGACCAGGAATCGAACCTGAGACTCCTTGGTGCAAGGGCCAATGCTCTAACCACTGAGCAAAACCGGCCAGGGCACTAAACCCATTCTTCAGTGGGTCACATATTATTCTCCGGACCGCAGGCCAACGCTCTAACCGCTGAGCCAAACCGGCCAGGGCAAAGGATTTTTTTTTTTTTTATCCTCACCCGAGGATATTTTTCCATTTTTTGTACAGATAGAATGGGAGGGAGAGGAAGGGAGAGAGAGTGAAAAACATCGACGTGAAGGGACACATCGAGTGGCTGCCACCCGCACGACCTACCAGGGCCGGGGACAAATTGCAACCGAAGTACGTGCCCTTAACGGGAACCGAACCCGGGTCTCTCCGGACCGCAGGCCGACGCTCTAACCGCTGAGCCAAACTGGCCAGGGCGGTCACATATTATTCTAACCATGACATACAGCATTGTTTACTTAACCAACTTCAAATTGTTAAGACATATAGGGTTTTGGTTTTTCTTGCAATGATAACTAACCTTTCAATGAAGACCTTTAAGCACCTAACTTTCTTTTGTATAATTTCCTTAGGGTAAACCCCTAGAAATGGGATTTTTTTAGCCAAAGACTATAAATAGCCCTTATAGACTGTTGATCTAGTTTGAATAACCATAACCATTTTGGAAAATAATATGGCAATCTTGATCTTTATAATTATTAAAAATCATAAAATAAATAATTTTATAATAAATTTTACATTTTAGGGAAGTAGGTTACTTGAAGGCTAACACAAACCAAAGTGTGGGTTGCAGACAGAAGTGCACCAATTCTTTCTGCTGACACCTCAGTAACATCCAAATTTCTAACTACTGTGGCAGTACTGACATAGGAAATTTTGCAGTAAGGAATTTCATGCAATAATGAGTAATTTAAGCCACAACTTAGCTTTCTATTATCAATTTTTAAGTAATTTATAAGCAACATCCAAGTTGACAAAGTATATGATGACAGTCTAAGATAGGGTTTTCAACCACTTAGAACACTAAGAATTAAATTTATAATTAAATGTATCAGGTATATTATATTGGTGATTGTAATTCCTATGAAGAAAAATAGTTATAAATATAAAAGGTAAAAAGGGACATAACAGAAATAAACTAAACCATATTTTTATTATTACACTTACTTTTCTCGTGAGATGTTTCACTGATGTGTTCTGTAAGATACTCCAGTAACCCATCAAATATTTCTAGGAGATTCTTAATAGATTCTTTATCTCCTTTCATTATATTTTCTCCTGGACACAGAATACAGAGCTATTAAAAAATTTAATCAAGAAATCAAAAGCCTCATAATTTTGAAATGTATATACCACTGTGAAAATATTATTTAAGATACATACAATGTTTATAAACCAACCCACAAGAGACAATATAATGCAGTTGATTCTGAACAACACAGGTTTGAACTGTGTGAATCCACTTATGCAGATTATTTTCAATAAATATACAGTCAGCCCTCTGTACCCCTGGGTTTTGCATCTGAGAATTATATCAACCATGGTTCAAAAACAGTATTTTCTATCCATGGTTGAGAATCTGTGTATGTGGAGGGCCAACTTATATTATACATGAATTTTTGACTTCGAAAGGGTGAGCACTCCTAAACTCCGTGTTGGTTCAAGGGTCAACAGAACTAAAAACATCAACTTCCTGATGCCAGTTTATATCTGAAGAAACAATATGAATATGGTGTTTCATAATCCATTGGCATATCCCTTCCTTTATCAAGAAGCAAAATAAATGGACTTAAAATATCCTCTGATAAAACTGATACCAAAGTATAAAACAGCTAAGCAGAACTTTATTTGGTGGATGAAAAAAATGGCAGAAAACACTTTCAGATTGTGGAATCCTACTTCTAGATGGTGATTTGTTTTGAAAATAGCAGTAAAGAAGTAGAAAAAGAAAACAATAAAACTTTTTGGAATACTTTAAGCAGATTTCATAATTTTTTTCAAATGTGTTAATTCCTATTCACTTTGTGTAGATCATACCACTTTTGTTATTAAAAACTGTCAATGTGTCCTGGCCAGTGTGGCTCAGCTGGTTGGGGCGGCATCTGTATACCAAAAGGTGATGGGTTCTATTTCCGGTCAGGGCACATACCAGGTTACAGGTTCAACCCCCTGGTTGGAGCACATGAGGGAGGTAACTGGTCGATGTGTCTCTCTCTCTAAAATTAAAAAACAAACAAGAAACAAAAAGCCATCAATGGCTCCCAACATGTAAAATCCTTTCTAGCACTGGCCAGTTTGGCTCAGGAGTTAGAGCATCAGCTGCAGACTGAAGAGTTGCTGGTTCAATTGCCAGTCAAGGGGAAATACCTCGGTTGCAGGTTCGATCCTGGCTTGTCAAGGTCATACATAAGGCAACCAATTGATGTGTCTCTGTAACATGGATGTTTCTCTCTCCCTTTCTCCCTCCCTCCCAGTCTATCTAAAAATCAATGGAAAAATATCCTCTGGTGAGGATTAAAATAAGAACCTTTTTAATCACACCTCATCCCCAACCTTTCCAGCTTCATCTCCCATCACATCCACTTTATGCCTAGAAGTTAACCTTTAAAGAAAAATTTTTTTTCTTTATTGACTTTTAGAGAGAGGAAATGAGAGGGAGAGAGAGTTAGACACATTGACGAGAGAGAACATCGACCGGCCGCCTCCTGTATGCTCACCACTGGGGATCGGGCCCACAACCTGGGCATGTGTCCTGACCGGGAATCGAACTGGTGACCTCTCTTGGTGCATGGGTCGATGCTCACTCAACCACTGAGCCACACCGGCTGGATTAGAAGTTAATCTTTAAATAGTACCTAGCACACCACCAGGCCCATAACAGATTTTTAATAAATGTAAGTTGGAATATTGACCAGAAATAGCTTTGCAAAAGCATGGAAACTTGGCATGTTAAATGTCCCATAAAATAGACTCCAATCAACATCAGTTATGGATAAACTTAATTCTTGATACACTTGAGTTGGGAGATCATGCCTAGCAGTCTCATGAGTTCAAACCAGTATGGAAGGAGCAGAGTGGAAATTTGATATTTGAGAGAATCTAGCCATTAACTTTAGTCATGATGCAAAACAAACCTAAACCAGAAATTTAATGTTTTGTAATATCACTACTCAAACAATGTTTGACAGATTTTTTGTGTTTAAAACAACTAAAGAGAAATCTTGTTTTTAAGCTTTATGTTTTTCTGGCTTAATATGTTACACAAGTATACCCTAAGGGCATCTCAGAACTTCACAGTTTCTAGGATGGGGAAAATATTCTGCCAACCCAGCTAATAAGACTGCCTGCCAGAATGCAGTGATTCATGGTGTAGGAGAAACTAATTTAAACAAAACACAAGAAGAGAAAAACTGCTTTGCAATCTACTGGAAGTAAGCAGTTTAACAATTTTTCATGGGAGTAGATGTGAGTTATAAGGGGAAGCTCTATAATAAAAAGTTCTATAAGCAGACACCTTGCTATCATGTTTAAAAAGCACAAAAAACCAGAAATTACCCTACTCCAGTGATAAAGCAATTCTAAATTGCAAAAGAACAGGGAAACCCCAGGATTATCCCTCAAAATGAATGATATCCAAACTAATTTACCACATTTACTCACCTAGAACTGTACTCAAAAACTTAAAAGACAGAATTTTTTTGCAAACATTTGTTCTTATCAATATCAAATTAAGAGATGTAAATGACCTATATCCTGACTAACATTTATCTCCTTTAACTGTTGTCAAAGAATAGATCAACAGTGTAAACCTCTTAGACATTTAAGTACAGTTTTCAAGTCTCCAAGATCCCTTCTGTTCATTAGCTGGAAACAATTTACTCTATTTAAGAAAAAGGTTCAGCCCTGGCCAGTTTGGCTCAGCAGTTAGAGCGTCGGCCTGCGTTCTGGAGACCCGGGTTCGGTTCCCGCTAAGGGCACGTACTTTGGTTGTAGTTTGTCCCCGGCCCTGGTTGGTCGTGCGGGTGGCAGCCACTCGATGTGTCCCTTCACGTCGATGTTTCTCTCTCTCTCTCCCTCCCACTCTATCTGTACAAAAAATGGAAAAATATCCTCGGGTGAGGATTAAAAAAAAAAAAGAAAAAGGTTCAAAAACAATTTACAATTTTATTTATTTTGAATAGGTAAATACATTCATGATTCAAAATTCAAAAAGTATAAAAGGTATACGGTAAAAATTCTCATTCCTCCTTTGTCCTATAGCCTTTAAGTTCCTCTTATTGGAGGCAAACAATATTACAGGTTTCCTGTATGTGCTTCTAGCAGTGGTTCTCAACCCTCCTAATGCTGCGACACTTTAATACAGTTCCTGATGTTGTGGTGACCCCCAACCATAAAATTATTTTTGTTGCTACTTCATAACTGTAATTTTGCTACTGTTATGTCTTAGGTGACCCCTGTGAAAGGGTCGTTTGACCCCCAAAGGGAGTTGCGGCCCACAGGTTGAGAACAACTGTTAGAGAATTCTTCTGCGTGAAATCAACTGCAAATATATTGTCTGTACCTTTGTATTTACAAATAGTAGCATACTCTGCACGTTATCATTGCAACTACACATTTTTCTCACACAATATATACTGGAGATTGCTTCACTAACATGGAACACTGTACATAAAGAGCATCATACCCTGGCCTGTGTGACTCAGTGGTTAGAGTATCGGCCAGAGCACTGAAGGGTCAACTGTTCGATTCCCAGTCAAGGGCATGTACCTGGATTGTGGGTTTGATCCCTGGTCCTGGTCAGGTGTGGGGAGGCAAGCAATCGATGTTTCTCTCTCTCTTTTTCCCCATCCTTCCCTCCCTTCCACTCTCTCTAAAAGTCAATGGAAAAAATATCCTTAGGTAAGGATTAAAAAATAAATAAAAGAGCATCATAATTATCTTTTACAGCTACAGAGTAGTTACCTCTATAGAGCTACCATAATTTATTAACCTGTTGCTATTAATGGACATTTAGGTGTTTAAAAAAATTTTTTTTTCTTTTTATTGACTTTAGAGAGAGAGAAAGGGAGAGGGAGAGAGAGAGAGAAACATCATGAGAGAGAACATCGATTGGCCGCCTCCTGCACGTCCCCCACTGGGGATCGGGCCCACATCCTGGGCATGTGCTCTGACCAGGAATTGAACCAGCGACCTCTTGATGCATGGGTCAGCGCTCAACCACTGAACCACACCAGCCGGGCAATTTAGGTGTTTTTAATTTTTAGCTACTACAAACAAGCAGCGTGGCAGCTTTGAAATAACAAAATAACAACAACAAAATCACAGTTCAAACTACCAGCTAGGACTCTGACCCAGATCCATTATAAACTCAATGTCTGACTCCTAGAAAAGCTCTCAGGGTGGCTGCCTTAACTATACCCAGTCAACTATCTCGGCTCAACCTTGCTGTTTAGTCTACTTCATAAACTTACTCATTTTGCTAAACAGTGTCTAGGGTTCTAAACAAGTTATGTTAGTAAAATGCAAAATTATCTGATGGTTAAATATATACCAACCTGTTATATGAGACAAGCTGACCTGCAGGTAATCCAAGGCCAGAGAATCAATTACTGCTTGTGCATTGTGAGCTTCATCCTCTTGACTCCTGGGATTAGCTATGAGGTCTGCCGGGGAAAGAAAGCTACATTATTTTGCATATACAAGGGTCTAAGTTTTCATCTGTCTGTCTCTGATTAGGCTTTTGAGTAAGCTCGCTTGCTACAAAAGTAAGCTCTACCCAAATAGAATAGGTCTTTAAAAGTACAGATAAAGCTCAGGTGGTATGGCTCAGTGGATTGAGCCTCATCCCATGGACTGAGAGGTTCCAGTTCGATCCCCAGTGTGGGAGTGTGCAGGAGGCAGCCAATTGATGTTTCTCACATTGATGTTTCTATCTCTCTCTCAAAATAAAATAAAATAAAAGTGCAGATAAAGTTAATAGAGCCTGCCCGAATTCCACATAGTAGAATCTTTATTGGTCAAATATTGTTGACTGATTGACTATAGTTGAATAAATGTATGAACATGTGCTCTACATTAAGCACCATACTAAAGATAAGTCTCTAAATTCAAGGAGATGATAATATGATAATAAGGAAGGCAATGCATGAGGTGAGACTTGAACCAATAAATGTGGGCTGCTTTCCATGAGGGGGGGGGGGCCCACAAAAGGTGTGAAAGGAGGCTTACTGAATGTCCAGGGCTACAGTACAAACACCAATTCTCATCCATAATATTGGTTAAGTGAACCTGACAAGTATCTAAATTCCACTCAATTTTAGAACCTTTGAAAGTACATTTACAGAAAGGGTGTGACTTTCACAAGGCATTTAGCCTGATTAGAGTAAACAGTGATGACCAAGACCAGTCAAAGTGATTTGACGAAAGCTGTTATTATAGCTTGATCTCATAAGGTATTCATTAAGAAAATGAATGCACTAATTTAGAAGAAATAACATGTAGATAAACAGAAAACTCAAGATTTTATAAATACCACAGGCTCTAACTAAAGGCACTAAAAACTTCTGGCTTAAGATACCAACATTATTATTCCCATTTTTAGGACCCTTACCTGGTACCTTTTCTCCCAAAATGGATTGATAAAGAGCAATAAAGACATTAGCATCACAATCTTCTAGATCATGTATCCTCAGGTGTATGTGACATTTCAGGAGAAGGTTATTGGCAACTGTTACCCACTCTGTTGGCAAAAATAGGGAAAAATTCAGCTTTAAATAACAGTAGAAAAAGTCATTTTTTAAAAAAACATCCCTCACAAAACAGGCCTTGAACTCTGTAGAAGATAATGAATTAGATTATGACAGAATTTTAAAATACCTCCTAGGCATGTTTTTTTAAGTTTCAAATGTATTTTATTTCTCCAATCATGCCATATTTTAATGGGTATACAGTAGGCATGATTTTTTAAAAGATTAATTTCTTGGAATGTCTTCCACACTGCTATGATTTCAGGGCAGTCAAAAATATTATGCAAATCCAATTTTCACCGTTGCAACCTAAAATCTTGTTATTTGCTGTAGTTCTTATTTTACAAGCCATACTTAGGTGTTTTTATTTAGAACATATTTACAAGTAAATGGGAATACTATGTCCCAAACAAGACTGTTAGCGATATTCTGAGGCTACCAGAAAGTAATTAATGGATGTTGCTTCTAATTCCCACTAGCATTAGTCATGTTTTTACCCAATTATCTTGTGCAAGTTAGAATTTCTCTGGTGCCCAAATAGGTGGTTAACTTAGGCTGTTAAGACCTTGAGTAATGACACCTACACTAGGGTATTTGTTCGTTTTTAACATTTGATTATATGAAAGAAAATATGGAAAAACACACCAATGGTTCCTAAATTCAGAATTAGCACATTACCAATACTGCTTAAGTTTCTTGTGTACCCCTCTCCTCGCCCCCATATCGATGAAATTCGTATTTCAAGGGTTTCTCGACCAAAGGTAGTTCATAAAACGAAACCCGTGTTCCCTGAAGAGACTGGTGGTCCCTTTCATTCTGTATTCGATTACTCCAACATGTGCCAGATATGCGGGACTCTGTGTTCACACCATCTCCCTCTCCCGCGTGCCCGTTTCTCACACGAGACCAAACCATGACAACTGGCTTGAACGCTGTCCTGCAGAAGAGGAGGAAAGCGTCCTCGACAACCAAATCAATTCGCTTTTCAAAAGTGGTGCCAGACAAAGCTGGTAACTCCTGAGGGCACGGAACAGAAAAACCCACAACCACTCTACTTTGGCGGAGGCATCAAGAGAACTTAAGAGTGCCATTCCTCACAAGTTCAGATGCATGTGCGACTTCAGGCCCCACAAGGCAGGAGCAGAGAGCGCCTTGACAGCGGCTGGGTTCCCCAGAGAAATACGAGTCTGGGGAAGAGACTTTCCAACTGCCCTTTCTGCGGCCAGGGTGCGGGCGTCCCTCGGCCCTCGCCACAGGGCCTTCTGTCCCCTGCCCAGGTCGCCCTCGACAGGGAGCTGGGCTAAAACACCCTAGCCCACGAGCCCGCCCACCACGACGGGCTGTCGTCACGACCAACACCTAGCCTAGGCTGGCCGGAGGTCTCAAGATAAAACGGACAGGGGCATTCGGGGGCTTGGAAGGCTTTCGTCCACACACCGGGGCTCCAGGCCGAGACTCACCAGCCTCTGAGCCGGCCATGTCGCGGAGGCAGGGCGCCGCCGGGCGCCGAGCCGGGCGCGCGGGGACGGTGTCCTGCAAGGGCCGCGCGGCGCAGACACAGAGCAGAGAGGAGGGGGAACAAAAGCCGAGTACAGGAGAGGAGGGGTGAGAGAGGGAGGAACGTTAAAACGGCTTCTCGCTGCTGATTGGTCACCAGAGCACTTCCTTTCGCAGCACGAGCCGAGGCGGCGGTTTGGGGGCTTTAGATACTGTTCTCCTCCGGCAAGATCGCGCTGAGGGATTCCCAGGTGGGTGGGCTTGACAGGGCGGGTCACCCAACGGCCCTTGTCGGCCTCCCCACGGCATTACCGCGGCATTGGCGCGGCACTTCCGGTGAGCTAATCGCCTTGTATTCCTCCGCCGACGCCAACTGAGGAAGTAGTGCGGCCTTCTCACCCGGTGGGCGGGGCAGCCACGTGACAATCCGGGCTCCGCCTTCTTTCTCGTTTGGTTCTGGGCGTGAAAGCTCTTCGGCGACGTAAACAACTCCAAGTGGGCGGAGTGGGTTTTTGTGTGTTGGCCATTTTATCGCCTGGGCTGGACCTGAAAAAGGGTGGGGTGCCTTCTTTGAGCTGTGGAAAGACGAGAAAAAGGTGAAGTCAAGAGAGTGCAGGCTGAGGCATCGCGGTGGTGGGTGGGCCCAGCGTGAAAAGGGCGAAAAAAAACGGGCGAATCTGAGGGAGGGGCCGCGGGGGGAGGGGCGAGAACATGGCGGATTCCGGAACGTCGGCGGGCGTTGCAGCCTCTGCGCAGGGGCGGAGTGATTAGGTCATAGAGCGGCTCCCAGCATTCTCTGCGGCAGAGGAGGCGGTCCAGCCTATAAAACCGGCTGCTGGGACGCGGCCGGCACCTCATTCATTTCCACCGGTCTCTAGGCGGGCAGCTCAGGCTCCTGTCATCACCGTCCCTCCGCCGCCGCCGCCCCCGCAAGGCTTCGCTTTCGCCGACGCCGCCTCTGGCGACTCGTCGCACCCGATTCTCTCCACTTCGTTCCCCACCAACCGCAATCATTGACGCCATGTCGGGCTATTCGAGTGACCGAGACCGCGGCCGGGATCGAGGGTGAGTGTGGGAACTGACCTGTCAGGCCCGGCGGGTGGGGGATGGGAGGCCGATGAGGTAACGAGGGGTGGGTGGCGAAGAGGACCTCTTTTCTTAGCCTATTTTGAGGCCTCTTCAGTCGAACGATTGCGCCATTTCTGTATTTCCCCAAAACTGACTGAAGTATTTTTCTGTTAACGGCCTTCAACTTCGTTTTTTATTCGGGAGGGGGCTTCGGGACCTCGGCGATTGAGCAGCTGTGGGGAGAATTCAGGGGAACGTTATTGCAAGGGGGTGAAAGCGACGCTTGGAGGCGGGCGAAGTCGGCGCTGTTCTTAGGTGCTCCCTTTCGAGAGGTGTTTTAGGAGCCCCGGGAATTCTGTGGGAGCGGAGAGGGCCGCCTCCGAAGCCACTGGTGCTGCGGGGGCAGGAGGGTGGCCGGCGCCGAGGGAATCGGCCATGTGTGTGAGCCGCGGGTACAAAATGCCGCTGTCGGACATGGCGGCGCCTTTGTTACCCCGCCCGGCGGAGGAGCTCAAAATGGCAGCGTCGAGAAAATGTGGCGCAGAGAGAAATGCGAGACAAAGGGGGAAGCGCCGCCCCAGCGGGAACGCCGCCCGGCCGACTCCGCCCGGGCCGGGACTCCTCCCCCGGTAGTCGCCAGCTCCTCCTTCTCTTTTTTCTTGAGTTATATAATTTTGTTACCTTGATCCGAAGCCCTTCTACGGGGTCTCAGTACTCGATTGGGTTCCGTAAGTGTCCCAGAGACCACCACCGTCCTTGTTCTGCTCTCATTGCCTGTGCTGCCCCGTTAGTCATTAAAACCAAGGCTCCTTGGCTTGAAAACAGCTGCTAAAGAACATCGGTGTTAAGTCCCTCCCTTCTTGTATTGTCTCTCCCCCCAGATACTTAATTCCTGAGCTCTTGGGAAAGGCTGGTAGCCACAAGCTGTTGTCTATCCGTGTAATCTGAGCTTTTGGCCTCTGGGCAGCCAGTTTCCGACCAGATAAATCCTGGGCTATTGACTTGGCTTCAATAGTGTGTACTAGGACAACGGGAAATGAAACCTAGGGTGATCATTGTTAGGAGAATGGTCATCACTAAGGACAGCGCTATATCTCGTCCCTGCAGAAGTCTTTTATTGACCAAGGGATGGCAAGTTAGTGTGTATACAAACTCCTATGTAAACGTTTGAAAATGTAAGAAGTTATGCGTGTGTGTTTTTTTTCCTTTTCAGATTTGGTGCACCTCGATTTGGAGGAAGTAGGGCAGGGCCTCTTTCAGGAAAGAAGTTTGGAAACCCTGGGGAGAAACTAGTTAAAAAGAAGTGGAATCTTGATGAGCTGCCCAAGTTTGAGAAGAATTTTTATCAAGAACACCCTGAGTTGGCTAGGCGCACAGCGGTGAGTAATTTTAATTTGACGTGGCTTCATCAAGCTAAATTCAATAATGACTTAGAGTAAATCAAAATCTGACCAGAAATGTCATGCTTTCTGATTTATTGGGGAAGAGGTATTACTCGTTTTTGGAAGCAGAGGGCTTTGTATTTTTCTGCTTACGATGATTGAGTTATAACAATAGGTATGTTTTGTGTATAAAATGGGGTTTTCATATGTGCATTCCAGGTTTAAAATGGCCATGTTGAAGCCCCTGATCAATTACAAATTTAGGGGCTTACTGGTTGCCTATTTAGTTAGGGGAGGTTGTCCTAAGACTTAATTAGATTATTTGTTTTGTAGCAAGAGGTGGAGACATACAGAAGAAGCAAGGAAATTACAGTTAGAGGTCACAACTGCCCAAAGCCAGTTCTGAATTTTTATGAAGCGAACTTCCCTGGTAAGTGCTAGTTTTGCTTCCCCCTGCCCCCTCTTTAATTCCTTTCTTTCTCTTGGCATTATTAACTTTTCCAAATTGCTGCTAATTACAGCAAACATCATGGATGTGATTGCAAGACAGAATTTTACTGAACCCACTGCTATTCAAGCTCAGGGATGGCCAGTTGCTCTAAGTGGATTGGATATGGTTGGAGTAGCACAGACTGGATCTGGGAAAACATTGTCTGTAAGTTTGGGACAACTTTTGAGGTGTTTAGAGGAGATGGATTGGGAATAAGAAGAAACCAGAAGTATTTTAATATATAACCCCTGTTGTCTGTTACTCCTTAAATAGTATTTGCTGCCTGCCATTGTCCACATCAATCATCAGCCATTGCTAGAGAGAGGTGATGGGCCTATTGTAAGTATATATTTACATATATATGTATGTGTGTGTGTGGTTTGTTTTTTTTTTTCTTTCCCAGTTTTTGGCCAGAAGTTTAGTGTAGACTTGTAGACTATATAACAAAAGACACGATTTGTGGTGGTTTCATGTAGGGAAATTAATTATCTTACTTAGTTTAGCTGGAGATTGTCATCTGTTGGTGTAACATTAGTTTAAAACTAGGCCCCAGGGTTCTGCTAAAAGCTGTTCCATTTTCTGTTCCTCTTTCTTTAGTGCTTGGTGCTGGCACCAACTCGGGAACTGGCCCAACAGGTGCAGCAAGTAGCTGCTGAATATTGTAGGGCATGTCGATTGAAGTCTACTTGCATCTATGGTGGCGCTCCTAAGGGACCACAGATACGTGATTTGGAGAGAGGTGTGTAACCAAAAAAGGTTCTTTTTGTTACTGGTTCTAAAAAGTTCTAGATGTTTTATTTACATTTATGTGTTTAATTGAAGGTGTGGAAATCTGTATTGCAACACCTGGAAGACTGATTGACTTTTTAGAGTGTGGGAAAACAAATCTGAGAAGAACCACCTACCTTGTCCTTGATGAAGCAGATAGAATGCTTGATATGGGCTTTGAACCCCAAATAAGGAAGATTGTGGATCAGATAAGAGTAAGTGCTTTCATGATATTTCTTAAAACTTAGCTCTGAATTTATGTTTAGAATACATAAAAGTTTTTTTTATTGTTTGTTTTTAATCCAAAATTCTTTAGCCTGACAGGCAAACCCTAATGTGGAGTGCAACTTGGCCAAAAGAAGTAAGACAGCTTGCTGAAGATTTCCTGAAAGACTATATTCATATAAACATTGGTGCACTGGAACTGAGTGCAAACCACAACATTCTTCAGATTGTGGATGTGTGTCATGATGTAGAAAAGGATGAAAAGTAAGTTACGTTGTACTACAAAAACAACTGCTGTGTAAATTGAGTTCCTATTTCATAGGTTATCTTAAAAGTGACTTTCAGTTGGCTATAATCTGAATGTTAATTTAAAATTAGCCTGTCACTGTTTGAAAATTCTTGCTTCATTCAGATAATCAGCAATCACTGTATAGCATTCCTGTAGGAAAGGAACTAAGGTCTCCCATGGTTTATTTAAGAGCCAAGGCTGGAATTGCTCGATAAGTGATTAAGCAGTGTTTCCCTTTTGATTTGTAGCCATGTACATTGACTATAAATGTGTGTTCATACCATGGACTTTGAAATTTTACAATTTTTTTTCTTTCAAGACTTATTCGTCTGATGGAAGAGATCATGAGTGAGAAGGAGAATAAAACCATTGTCTTTGTTGAAACCAAAAGAAGATGTGATGAACTTACTAGAAAAATGAGGAGAGATGGGTATGTATGTAGGCTTTCTCCATTGGAGTCAGATGTATTAGAGCTGAGTTTAAGGGAAGGACAAGGTTAAATCAGGAGTGATGGATTTGAGTTTTGTGGATGGTGGTGTAGGTGAAATTACACAATGTTAGTGAAATTGGAGGGATTTGTGATGCCAAAAAATGGTTGGGTGCTAAACTGAAATCCATCGGATGTTAAATGTAGTCTACTAATATACCTTTTCTAATTAGGTGGCCTGCCATGGGTATCCATGGTGACAAGAGTCAACAGGAACGTGACTGGGTTCTAAATGGTAAGTATGAAGATTCCTCTCCACCACTCCGCCCACACACAACCCCCAAAAAACTAGAATTTTGCTCAGATTAGTGATCATATATATATGCCTTGTTTTGCAGAATTCAAACATGGAAAAGCTCCTATTCTGATTGCTACAGATGTGGCCTCCAGAGGGCTAGGTTAGTACAAACTCGAATTCATGGCTTGGTTTTCCAGAAGATCTCCATAAAATTTTTAAAGAAAGTTTATTGCTTTCTTTAACCTCTGCATTTTTTCTAAGTTTTTTTTTCATATAAAGGTGCAGTCTTTGTGGCAAGGCCTAGGCATGACAATCGGAGGACTCGAGGGGGATGGAGGACTAGTGATCGGCTGGCTGCTTCCAGTCGATTAGAGAGGTGAAAAACTGAAAGTGTGCCAGTAATCTTCAAAAGGCAGAACATACCCACCTCTGCCGCATAAACTGTTCTCTCCTGGGGGAAAAAAGGAAGTTATCCTCACAGTTCACTGCCGTGGTATTTCTTCCGTCCCATGCTTTGCATGACTGCCATGGTACTGCATTGTTTCAACCTGTTTACTGTGATCTGTGAGTCTTTGAGTTTCAGTGAGTTTGCTGAAATGTCGAAGAAATATTCCCAAACTTCAATGTTCAATGAAATTTTTGTTCAAGTTTGAAATGGAGAGAGCAGCTTTAAAAGGTACTAAGCCTTTTACAAATTGGTGAGTACTGGCACATGAGCTCTAGAGCAGGAGCAACTTCCCACACTTAGTCCGTGGGAAAAAGCAATGCTTTGAAAGTTCCTCCCTCACCTACACAGTAGTCGTCATGTCGAGACCTGCCAGAGAGAGACACATTCTCAAGTGAATCCTGGCTTCTTGGAAGCGCTTGCCTAGACGAGACACAGTGCATAAAAACAACTTTTGGGGGACAGGTATGTTTTTCTTGCAGCTGCAGTTGTAAGGTCTTGGCAAGACAAGCAGTGTGGCCAGAATTTTGAACTTCTGATGAGTGTGTAATGCAAAGGACCATGTACTTTTTTATTTAAAGGTCCTCAAAATGAGCACATGAAGGAGGTTGCTGTGAACCTTAAAGTGGCCCTACTGCACAGAAGCATTCAGATGTCACTTGATAACCTTTAAGGGGACTTGCTGATTTGGGAATGTGTTAGGGAATACACATCCTGTTGACAGGCTCTATCATTGGGTGGGTAATAATAACACAGATGACGTGTGCTTTTTTTTTTTTTTCCCTTTTTCTTTTTCCAACCTCAATGGTATTCCTACAGGGAATGGATAACCATTTTAACTGTATTTTTTGCAGCCCATACCTTCTTGGGAATATAAATGTCTAACTTTTTATTTTTGGTCTGGCTGTTGTGGTGTGCAAAACTCCGTACATTGCTATTTTGCCACACTGCAACACCTTACAGATGTGGAAGATGTGAAATTTGTCATCAATTATGACTACCCTAACTCCTCAGAGGATTATATTCATCGAATTGGAAGAACTGCTCGCAGTACCAAAACAGGCACAGCATACACTTTCTTTACACCTAATAATATAAAGCAAGTGAGCGACCTTATCTCTGTGCTTCGTGAAGCTAATCAAGCAATTAATCCCAAGTTGCTTCAGTTGGTTGAAGACAGAGGTTCAGGTAAGATCAATCTTCAATAAGAAATGTTGGTGGTTTTGGGTTGCATACTTGTCTACAAATGGGATTGGTAGGTGAGTGAAACCTTACATGACACTAAGTTGAGAAAATGCTCCACATCTAGTTAGTTATCTAATTCTTTCTGTGTTGGAAATGGTTTGTGCCACAGAAATAATCAGCTTGCCATTATCTTTTTTTTTTTTTTTGACAGGTCGTTCCAGGGGTAGAGGAGGCATGAAGGATGACCGTCGGGACAGATACTCTGCGGGCAAAAGGGGTGGATTTAATACCTTTAGAGACAGGGAAAATTATGACAGAGGTTATTCTAGTCTGCTTAAGAGAGATTTTGGGGCAAAGACCCAGAATGGTGTTTACAGTGCTACAAATTACACCAATGGGAGCTTTGGAAGTAATTTTGTGTCTGCTGGCATACAGACCAGTTTTAGGACTGGTAATCCAACAGGGACTTACCAGAATGGTTATGATAGCACTCAGCAATATGGAAGTAATGTTCCAAATATGCACAATGGTATGAACCAACAGGCATATGCATATCCTGCTACTGCAGCTGCGCCTATGATTGGTTATCCGATGCCAACAGGATATTCTCAATAAGACTTTAGAAGTATATGTAAATGTCTGTTTTTCATAATTGCTCTTTATATTGTGTGTTACCAGACAAGATAGTTATTTAAGAAACATGGGAAATGCAGAAATGACTGCAGTGCAGCAGTAATTATGGTGCACTTTTTCGCTATTTAAGTTGGATATTTCTCTACATTCCTGAAACAATTTTTAGGTTTTTTTTGTACTAGAAAATGCAGGCAAGTGTTTTCACAAAAGTAAATGTACAGTGATTTGAAATACATTGAATGAAGGCAATGCATGGCCTTCCAATAAAAAATATTTGAAGACTGAATTAAGTGGAAATTGTACTTTATTTTATATATATAATGTAATGTAAAATTGCTTAGATGGTCTTTTTTTTTTTTTTAATAAAAACATCTAGACTGTTTTCCATAATTTAGTTTTGGGAAGTGGGGAGATCAGAAGGCCCTTACAATGATCTATTCGTATTGCAAGAATTAAAATGAGATTGATTTAGGTAAATTTATAATTCTAGGCTAAATGGCATAATTGCTTTCTGTCGGCACCTCTATTATAAGGTGAGTCATTTAATAGAGCCTATTTGTTAGCAGAAGGATGAAATGATAACGTTAAGGTAAGATAGAAAATCAACTGCATAGCCCCACCCCACCTTCAAACTGGTTATGTGGGGAATGTGGATGACTTTGTTCCTTTTGCAAAATTTATCATTTAATAGCTCCAAATAACTTGCTTTTTTGAAGGGCATATTCACTCTCTTGGCTCTATTGTGAATTACTGAAATGTTGAACAAAGCTAAGACTTAACACCTTTTAAGATAAGGTTGGCAGGAGCTAAATTTTAATTTGTTTTTAGAGTTCTTAGTGCAGGTTATAAATAGATTCTAGTCTTCATAAATTACTGGGGGCTCTTAATTGCATTCACACTGGGAGTCATTGAATGTCTTTCCAATAATCCAGGGAACTCTACAACACTTCAAACTAAGGTCTATTCATATTTGAACAAACAAAATCCTCATCAAAATTAATGGTTAACCAAGAGGAAGTCACATTAACCGAAAGCACAGTGACTAGTACAAGTCTTGTTAGAATCAACATGGGTTTATTGCTAGAAAGATCCAGGAAGTAGCTTTAGATTTAACTTCAGCTCACCAATATTTCTAATACTTCATTTCAATAATGGCTAGAAGTGGGTCTGAATGTCTACCCAGAGAGTCTCTGGCATAATAATGGGTTTTTTTGCCAGGAGAGGGAGAGGTCTTCATGAGACACTTATAAATTCTGATTATTAAACTGAGGCTTTAATTGGTGTTAATGCCTTATCTCTATAAAATAGAATTTCTGTGGGGAGAGGGAAGTGGTATTTTTAGGACTAATACATTGAAAACTGATCAACCTCTAATAACAGTTTTCAATAGCATGATCAAATTCGTTATGACTTTTAATATAAGCTTTCAGGGTAGGTTGGAATATTTATTACATATTTTACTGTTTAATGTCTAACGTGGGCCTTTAAATTTGTAAACACTTATTGAAATGATTGTGAGGCTGTGGGAAACATTTACCTATTTACCTTTGAAGTAAGTTTTAAAAGACAGTCCACTTTAGCATGTGTGTTGTGTCCAGCCTGTGGTTGTCTTAACTAATAAATGTTTTTTTTCTCCCCATTCTCTCTCTCATTTATTTGCGTATAGGCTTCTTTGGTGCGTTTCTTTAATTTGGGAAATGCACATTAATAATGCCTAGCTTTGCAGTTAATAATTGTTTTCTAGCAATAGCTTCAATTTTCTAGTTTCTCTTTATAAACTTGCACACTTGTGTGGAATGATTTTCAGAGGTCCTACAACAAACACTATGGAAGGAAACATTTTAACTTCGTATTACAGGTTAACTCGGTTGCCAAACTATTACACCTCAGTGCCCCTTCCTGGTAGTCTACTAAAATCTAGTAGCTTGTTCCTTTCACTTGAATTAATCTTCAAAACTTCTGTAACCAAACTTTAAGGGAAGCTGGAAGATAGGAGTCATGGGTTTTGGAATCAACCGTTTTCATCTGGTTTTACCAGTTTTTCACTATTTGGGCAATTTTCTTAAGGGCCTTAAGTGTAAATGGAGATTGTAAATGAACAGGCCTGCTGGGCAATCCGGGAATCTCCATTTTACACAGGTGGTCAAGTTTGGTTGCATGTTTTGATCAAACCCTGAAAAGAACTGCTGGTAGAGCAACTTTCTTGTACACATTCACCTGCAGGGCTTGTTTAAAACTGCTGGGCTCCGTTTCTTTAAGGTTTCCAGGTGGTGCAGGTGCTACTTACTGGCTGTGGATCGCCCCTTGAGAACTGCTTCAAATGAGTAAAGGGACCCACCCTACCTCCTTCCAGTTACACAACTGCACCCTTCTGCCTTGGGGGTAGGAGCGCTGGTTGTGCATTTACTTAGTAGAGTTGCAACAAAGACCTGGGTCTCCACCGCTACAAAGGACTAAACTTAAAATGAGAACCAAAGCTTTGTTTTATTTATTTTATCCTCACCTGAGGACATTTTTCCTTTTTTTTGTTTGTTTAGATATAAAGTGGGAGGGAGAGAGGAACACAGAACTGTCGACGTGAAAGGGACACATTGAGTGGCTGCCACCCTCAGGCCAACCAGGGCTGGGGACAAACTGTAACTGAGGTTACCGCCCTTAGCGGGAACTGAACCTGGGTCTCTCTGGACCCCAGGCCGACGCTCCAAACGCTGAGCCAAACCGGCCAGGGCCGAGAACCAAAGTTTTAGGTAACAGGATTTAGAAGGTGATTTGGAGAACATTTAAGTATTTTCATGTCTGATAAAATGGGGAAGGAAAGTAAAGCTGATGCAGCAGTGGCTACAGCACGATGGTGGAAAGTGGATGGGAATGCCTTTTACCAGTGCTGATGACCTAAAAACTATGACGGGGACCAGGCTTGATCTACGTGAAGAGAGAGATGAGGCCTGTCTCCATCCGGCTGCCGCAGCCGGAACACAGTGACCAGCTTCCGTGGGCGGGGCTAGCTGCAAGCAAGCTCACTTCCGATACGACTGCGCAGTTGGTTCTCGGGTTCCTACAGTTGCGGGTGTTTATTGGGACCACCAGCTAATAGGAGACTGTTCTTTAACTCCCGAGGGCGATGCGCGCCGGTGCAGCCGTCAGGGCCTGCCACAAAATCTGCAGGTGCCTGTTGTCTGGTTTTGGGGGTCGAGTAGATGGGGGCCAGCCAGAGCGGCTGGCGGAAGGGAGTAGCCCCCTTGGAGGGCCCCTGCGGTCGCAGGCGGAGTTGCCCGGAGGAAACGAACTAACAGAAGCCCCAGAATCTGGAGAGGGGAGCGAAGCGCTGGTAGAAATCTGTCAGAGGAGGCATTTCCTCGTGGATACCAAGCGGCAGATTAGCCGAGATTCTCTCCTGAGCGGGTGCCACTCCGGTTTTGGCCCCTTGGGCTTAGAGTTGCGGAAGAACCTGGCGGCCGAATGGTGGTCCTCGGTAGTGGTGTTCCGGGAGCAAGTCTTTCCGGTAGATGCCCTCCACCTTAAATCAGGCCCTTCGCTGCCCGGGGACAGTGCCTTCAGGTTAGTTTCTGCAGAGTCTCTACGCGAAATCTTGCAAGACAAAGAACTGAGTAAGGAACAGCTAGTAGCATTTCTTGAGAATTTATTAAAAACTTCTGAGAAACTACGGGAGAACCTTCTTCACGGTATGCTTCATGATTTCATGCTTCAAAATAGGTGTCGGGGTGGAAAGGCAATCTGGCTGGATACCGCGAATTGCAACTGGCCCTTTATTCACGTGGAAAGGAAGTTACATGGTTCTCATCTGTTTGAAGTAGTGGGGAATATTGACAGTGATTCTACGCTGGAGAAAACTGGTCCAAGCAGTCGTTACTGTTCCTTAAAGAATCTGATCGAAGGACCTCGTAATGCTCTCAATTTCACGGGGCAACCCCTATAATTTGAGAGTTAATTGAGCAACCCTAGAATTAGGGCCTAAATTAAATCATGTATTTAAATTTGTTCATCGTTACTAAAATGTTTGTAAATACTTTCACAGTCACTCTTCAGCTTTCCACAAAATCACAACTCATTTTTCTGGAGCAAAAAGAAAATGCCCATACCCGATTTTTCTTTCTGAAAAGTGACCTACAATCTGTTGTTTCGAGAGCCCTGTGGGTAATTTTTGAGTTTGCAAACTAGGACTAATCGAGCTTTATAAGTGATTCTTGAGTGAATACACAGAAACTTATAGGGGACCATTTGCCTTTAAAGTCAAATGGAACATGATGCAGAGATTCTGAAAAACAAGAAAACAACTCGGGTTCTTTATAGGACCAACTTGCTGCCTCATCATGTCATCTTTGCAAAATGTAATCCTTGCCATTTTTCATTAAGTGGTCCTATAAAGTAATTTAAAATAACCAATGTCCATGGCTCTCAGAAAATTAGTACCTATATTGTAAATTGTTAAAGATTTCTGTAAGGAAAAAAAATCAAACTAAGAGAAACGAATAAATGTGATCATTTTAATTTATATTACTTTACTCCATGATGGCTTTACTTTGGGGGAGTTAAACCACTGCTTATTACCATGTCCCAAAACAAATCAATCTTTTCTTCCTTATTAGAAAATGAAACTTAGTGCTCTTAGATGTCCATCCATCAGAGCATCTGTGTTGTGCCAGACTTTCTTGCCTGTAGGAAATTTAAATCCATCTATTTGCCAAATCCTTTGGTTATCTGGTGTTTTTAGCTTAGTTACCCAGTTTGCTATTTATTTCTATTCCCAATGCCCTTGCTGTCTTTTTTTTTTTTTTACTTAATTTATTTTTGTTACAGTTGTTTCTCCTTTTCCCCCCACTGATACCCTCCTCCCCCCTTGCCCTTGCTTTCTTTATTCCATGTCTGAACTACTGTAGTAGCCTCTACTTGTGATTAGTTTTTTAAAATTCTCAGCCATTATGTCTCCAAATATTTTTACCCATTCTCTTCTGTTCTTCTGTGATAATTACACGTTAGTTATTTTCCCCATCTTGTCATCAACTTTTTTTTGTCTTCTTTTTGTCTTTTTTCTTTCTTTCTTTTTTAATTGTCATCAACTTTCTTGAACACAATCACATTTTACAGTTTAGGTCCAATAACTCAGATGTATCTGTTTCTAGTATCAATGTTTTTCTCTGGGCTTTGGTCATTTGGACTTTCTCCTGATGTTCTAGGTAATTTGTGAATAAATTGTAGAGATAAATCGAGACTTTGAGTAGTGTTTTCTTCCTTCTGGAAGGATTTACTTTTGCTTTTAGCGGGCAG